GTCCATTTCCCTCTTTGTTAGGTCCCAGCACAGACACTCCCGACCCCCAAGGTAAATCTCCACTCCCTTCCTCCTTCACTGCCACAGCCTGCCCTTTTCCTTCTTTACTGTCCCTTTGCCTTCACATCACACGTGCTACCCTGACCTTGCAGATCCCTTCTCCCTGACCTCCCTTCTCCCTCCACCAACTCCCATTTCTCAGCAGCTTCTCAGTCCAGTGGTGTCCAGATCTTTACCTCAGCCTCTGTCTTTACCCTCCCCTTTGCAGACTGGCTCTTTTTTTCCCTGAGCAGCTAATTCAGGCTGTCCGGGGACCAGCTGTCAATGTATGGGCCATTTCCTGCGTCCTGGAACTCTGCTCACCTTCCCTGACACGGGCCTTCTAGCTCTCCGCCAGCGTCGGTGACCACTCCTCTTGGCTCCTTCACGAGCTCATTTTCTTCCTCCCACTCCTTAGAAGCAGAGAGCTCCCAAGGTAGGCTAAAGTCCACAAAGGATGTCTTGAAGGAGCAGCATCCAATAGACTGTCTCCTGATGTACTCTTCCCGGACTCTCCAAGGCTGACAAGACGCAGCCAGAAGTCTTTTAGGTGGCACTTAAGGCCACCTCTGTTGCTGTCTCTACTCCAGGCAAATCTCTCCTGCCATCATCACTAAACACATTTTCTCCAGGACCTCAAGTCTGGCTATCACCAACACTTCTTCCTGTCTCTCCTGCCTGGCCTGACTCTACTCCCCCCACTCTGCAGCTCCTTCCTGCAGTCTTTCTGAAATCCTCCCTGGCCATCTGGGGACTCTACTGAATGCAGTGCCCAGGCCACTGATTGTCTTTTTGTTCTAGCCATCTTGATTATTCAGTTCTCTTCTTAGGTGTGCTTGTCTCATCTCTGCTCTGCAGGCAGGAAGTTTCCTTTCCAGCTGGCATGCCTACTCCCCCAAAACAGGTAACCCATGCAGCATGTTGGCTGGCTGAAAATCATGCAGACACCCCAGCTAACTTTCCAGCTCGGATGCAGCTGGAGGTTGAGGAGTCTCCTCTAACCCATGAAGGAGGTACCTGCACGATTCCAGCTAGAGAGGTTGAGGATGCAACTGGAAATTTGGGTCAGAAGCTCAGCCTATCCCCACATGCCCAATGGGCGAGACTGGAGAGACTTCCCAGAGACAGAGTCTAGTAAGGACCTCAAAGTCCAGGAGCCATGCCATATCCAGAAGAGCTCCAAAAGAACCAGTACCACCCCATACTCTGCCCTTGGGAAATCCAGCATGACACCACTTACCATGCTTTGTCTCTTTCAAATAATTTGGGGCACAAATTTTAAGTATCCTGACACTTTCTTGGCAGTTAGACATCTGTAGATGTACAAATCCCAGCATCTGACAGTTGGTCAGTACATGTTAAACAGACTCAAATGCCTATGTCAGACTCGGAGACAGGATGCTTTGGCATGATCCCTGCCTAAAGCCCAGTGGGGAGCCCAGATGTGTACAATAAGTAAATGTCAGTGATCATCTTTAGAGGCCAGAGTAAAGATAGACACAGATCCCACTCTCATGGAGCTCATACCCTGCGACCACTGGGGTGAGTCAGTCTGCTTGGAGAAGGGGACAGAGGTCCAGAGTCCAGTATTATCCTAGGAAGGAAGCTGAAGATGGGATAGGACCAGGCTGACCTCAGGACTCCAGGGATCCCTGCACACACACACACATACACACACACACACACACACACACACACACACTCACACACTAACCAAGCATAGGTAGAGCATATACGAGTGGCACAGTCTGTTGCCCTGGGTGTCAGCTGTCATGCCCAGAACAGCTGTTGTCCATGGAAACTGCTAATCTATCTACCAACGCTTAGTGTGAAGTAGAACCCTTTTCCTGTCTCACGAATTAGCCTAGGATAGGAGTCTTCCGCTACTAAATTATCCCAGCTGGATGGCAGGGTGACCATTTGGGTGGTGGGGGAATGACTAAGGGTTTGGAGCTGATCTCCAACATCCTAATCCATCAGTGCCCTGAGCTGGGCCATGTGCAATGCCAGCTCCTTGTCTTGCAGCCCTGGTTCCCTGAAGAATAGAGGAATAGAGGAACAGACTGTTCACCCTTGAGTGGGTGGAGACGTCTCTGGGATGCCAGACTGGACTTTCACAGACCCCTTCTCTCCTTGCTTGTACTCTGCCATGCAGTGTGGGCACTGTTCCTCTCTCGCCTGGCATGACTGTGTCACCGCAGAGCACACATCCCCTGGGGCTAAGGCCCATAATAACCCTGCTTCCCACCATCCTTCTGTCCCCAAGTGGTGCAGGCACCCAGAGCTCCTGGGCCTCAGGGACCACCCAGGAGGAGAATGGGGCACCGAGAGAGAATATGACAGAATCATGACCAGTGCCCACGGCTTTGACTCCAAATCAATCATCTTTGCAGCCACCCAGATTGCTTCTTGGATCTGTGAGGGCTCTCTTGTCAAGACCCTGTCACTGGAGGTGTGGAAACAATCCCCCAGATGGCCAGTAATGGCTCACACAAATCAGAGGGGAGCTCTGAGGTGGGCTGGTCACCGAGGTCTGAGGCAGCTGTGAGCCTCCTAGGGTTACATGTGAGAGGGGCCAGATGCCAGCATGCATCAGACAGGCAGCTGCCTGGGAGCTGGGTGGGCAGGGCTGACTGGAAGCGGGCAGAGAGGGCCCTGGCACTCTGCCCTGGTGGGCGGTGCCACTCAGAGGGTGTTTTCTTGTTTAAGCACCTTCACGATCATTGCTGCCCTTTCCCTCACAAAAACATCACATCACCCTGCTTGTTTTGAGCAGGGGACCATGACCCTTTGCCAACAGATGTAACTGGAAGATTGGTGCGGCCTTTGGAGGAGCACAAGAAGCTGGCCTCCCTCCAAAAAAGGCCTCTCTGGAAGTGGCCCCCGCCCTGCTCTGAGGGGCACTCTGCTTTTCCCACTCCAGTCAGAAAAATCCCACTTCTCTCTACTCCCAAAGCCAAATATTTGCTGTCTGGGCCTGCCAGTTCCATCTCAGGTGGAGATGGCCGCTCTTCCTGGCTGCCTGGCAGTGAGGTGTGCTGGGCACCAAGCCTGCCTTCCCCTGAAGCTATGTACTCTGAGGGCCCTGGGGTGTCATGGGAGATCACTGAGGGTTTCCCAAGAGCCGAGCTTCAAGCAAGCCTCAGTGGCTGGGAGTTCCGCTGGCACCTAGGAAACTGCAATTCTGAGCAGGGGAGGGAGATGAGAGAGCGGGTTGGGGGCTGCTTTCTAGGAGCCACAACTACCTGCCAGCAGCCCGGAGGTTCCCACTGTGTCACTCACTCCAGCTCCGTGTAGCTCTGTTGCACAGGCTACAGTGGCCCCTGTTTGTCTTCTACCGCTGCATTTTCTCCTACAGTGTTTGTCTGGAATGTTGGTAGAGCCCAAACCACTCTGAGAATGTGCAGCATCTTACCATCCTTGCCAAGGACCAGGGCAGCCCGTGGCCTGCAGGCTGTGGTAAGATAATGACCTAAGAACTTTCTAGAACCTTCTGGTAATAGCCTGCCCTAAGCCTCCGGACTGTGTCAGCTAGGAGTGGGCCTTCTGTGGGTGAGGTTTCCCTTGCCAGCCAACAGAACTCCTCAGGGTTGATTATATTCTTGCATGGCTCACCCCAGACATGGTGCAGCCATCAGGATGCATAGGCATAAGGGGCCAGCCCTGAGAGAAGGAAGCAACAGAGAGGCAGGGGGCATCCTGGCCTGGAAGTCAAGATCCTTGGACTCTAGAGTCCCCAACTAGCTGTGGGCTCAAGCAAGTCATTTGCGCACAGCGTCAGCTACATCATTTGTGGTGACCAGTGCTGAATGAAAGTGAGAAGTCCCTTTTTGTAAATTGACAAAGAATTTCAAGATGGCACCCCAGAGCATGTAGCCAAGTAGGGGCCCTGTGGACTGAGTGGTCACATATCCATCAAGCTTCGTCAGCTCTACAAAGAGGAAAGCTATATGCAGAAAGCTCTCTGTCTCCTGAGTCCTTCCTTCAAATGCACCCTCAGATTCACATTATGGACAAAGCTGCTGTGGCTGAGCTGGCTCTGGAGGCCTGGACCCCACCTTGCTGTCCCCAGGCCTTTGTCAGCAGCACCTGAGGGTATAGCTCAGAGCCCTGTCCATAGAGGCAAAAGTCATTCTGTTTCAAATTTCAGCAGATCATGAGCAGGCCATGAGGTTCTCATGGCTAGCACTGTGCAGGCCACTTCAGGACCACTGACAGGCTCTGGAGAGGCACTAAAAATCCCACACGTGTCTCCCGAGTCTGCTTCTACTTTAGCCTGAGAATGAAGTGGAAGACCAAGCATGCACTCCAGGGCCTCAGAGAAGCCACAGCCAGAAACTGCTCAGCCACTTAGGAGCTTGGGACCCTGGACCATGGGGTCAGACAGACTCTAATTTCCACCTCAAGAACTGGCTGTCAGGGTCACCATGGTGACGACCCCTGTTAAGGACAGCTCAGCTCTGTTCCCTGCTGCTTTGTTTCTGGTCAGAGGGTAGGGTAGGGAGGTCAGGCAGGGTTCGAAGGAAGGAAGGAACTGAAGATGGTGGAGGAAACTCCCGGGCCCTGGGCTGGCAGAGGGCTAGGCAGGGCTGCAGCAGCCTCTGGGAAGGGTCCTCGGGGAGGGCACAAGAGATTCGGCTGGTGACACCTTTCTGCGCTGCCGCCCCCCCCCCCCCCCCCGCCAAGGGATCAAACTTTCCTGGACTTTAAGTTTGTTTCTGAGGGACAGAGCAATGGCAGTGAGGGTCTGAGAGCAAAAAGGAGAGGGGCGCTGCGATCGCTCCCCTTTCTCTCCTCTCAGAGTCCTCCGCCCTTGGACTTCAGGGCTCCTCACTGTCCCCCTAAGCTCCTCGAGCACGCTCCCACGCAGTCCTGCGGGTCGGAAAAGCGCCCCCTGGTGCGCTGGCCCGACCCGGGGCGCAGCAGTCCTCCGGGTGGCGCAGCCCCTCAGCTCCGCTTACCTTTCATGGTCCCTTCGGCCGGAGCCTCGGAAGGGCCCCGCAGCGGGCGACTGGAGCCTGGCAGATGCCGCCGGCGAGTCCTCCCCTGGCCCCGGGTCGCCGCCCTACGCGCCGCCCGCGGGCGTCATGCTGGGGCCGAGGCGCGGAGAGGCGCGGGGAGAGGTGGCGAGGGTCCCGCGGGTCGCAGTGGGGACACCCCGCCGGGCGCCCAGCGCCGCCGCCCGCCCGCACCCCGAGGTCTGCGCCGCCCCGCGCCCCCGCGCCCGCCTCTCCGCCCTCGCGCATCGCTCGCTCCCCCCTCCCCCGCCGCTTTCCCCCTTCCTTCCCTCCTTCCCTCCTTCCCTCCTTCCCTCCCTTCTCGTCACTCCTTGGGCCCCGGCCCAGATCAACTTCCTCAGTGTTTTCAAAACTGCCGCGGCCGGGCCTCTTTGTGAGGCTGCGCTGGGGGGCGCGCGGGGCGGGGCCAGAGGTCGAGGTCCCTCGTGGCGACTTCAATCCCGGACGACTAGTGGCTGGGGGCCCGGGGCGCGGGGTGCGGAACCCCGGATTTGATCTCTGCTCTCTTTTCTCACCCATCTGTGCGGTCCAGGGATCCCTAGGGACCTGGAAGGATTCCTGGGTTTCCAGCCCCAGCCCCCGCTGGTGCGTTTGCTCCAGCACTGCATCCATCACAGACTAGGACTCTCGGTCACCCTTGGGTCACTCTGGTGCTTTCTCAAGGAGCCCAGTGACTACGGGGCACCCACTTCATGTGTCTGAACCCCGCCAGAGGAAATGGGGCCTCTGAGCTCCCAGATTCTGGTGGGCCTTAGGTGTAACAGTGACCTCAGAAGGGAAGTGACCTCAAACAGGGAGTTGGCTCTTGTCATAAACGCACCTCCAACGACGCTCTTCAGTAACTCAGCAGTTTGCTGAGTACCTGCCAGGTCCCAGGTTGTACAGAAAACCGGGGAAGGTGGAGGAATCCACAAAATCAGCCTGGTAAGGGAGCAGGGAAACTACACCAGCAACTGTCGCGACAGAGGAGGGATGGAGGTTAGCATAGGGACAAAAGGGGACTCCAGGCTCACCCCATCTATGGCTGGAGTGAAGCCACCGGGAGGGTGGACAGCCGCTCCGTCCTAATGCCTAGTAGATCAGAAAAGTCAGCCGCTCTGCTGTCTCCCATCTGTCCTACCTTGCCCGGCAAGCTGACAGTTTGAGAAGCGCATTCTCGGGTGATCTCAGTGATCTTGATGAAGGGAGGCCAGGGGCTGCGCTGGCCACCTCACAGGGGAGGAGATGGGTTCAGAGCGGACGCCCCCTGCCTGGTGTAGTCACCAAGTGCTCTCGAGGCCTGGTATCGGGGTTCCGAATTGGCCGTATAAGCCTGAGACTGCCGGATCCTGGAATGTGCCCAGGAACTGCTTGGTAAACCCCAGAGAGCCCTTCGCATCTGTGGAAGGGTGGAAGGGAACTTTGCCTTGAGTGTCCCTGTGTATCTACTTGTTTACTCCTCACAGCAGCTCTGTGAGATAAGGAGCACCACTGCCTTCTATCTTCAATGAGAAAACTGAATGTGGAGAGGCCAAAGGATGTGCTTAGAGGTCACGACTAAGTGGTGATTTTGGGGTTTGAACCCAGCCAGGCCAAATACAGGACATGTGTGCTCTGCTGCAGAGATGACACTGCTTCTGCTGACAGGAGCTCAAGGCTTTGTGCGCAGAAAGAAGAAAAAAAAGACTGGATTTTAGCCACTCCTGGTGTAAAGGGTGTCATTCCCACTGTCTCTCTGGCTCTTGGGATCTTTGGCCCCTGGACTGTTGCTTGTGGTCACGCAGATGAATCTGCAAAGACCTGGCAGCTGTTGCTTCTGGCTGTGGATGAGCCCTGGGTGAGCAGAGCAAGTCCCAGCCCTGCAGTGGGAGATGATAAACTCCAAGTTTTGAGGGACTCCGCAGAGAAGTGCCCAGTTTTGTGGAGTGACAGGAAAGGGCTGGTGCAGCGTTAAGACACAGCAGTGCCAAAGGACCTGAGTGGTCACAGCATAGAAGACAGAAAGAGGAAGATGCACAGGAGTGAGGCTGAGTCTCCAAGTATAAAGAGGCAGGACCCCTAACAGTCACCTAGCCTTTGGGGGACCACCTTCCAGTGCAGAGGGAAGTTTCAGGAATGTTCTACCAGTAGCCACAGGGGTGGACCTAGGGTCAACTATAAGGTCCACACCACCCTGGTGCTCAAACCTGGGGACCTCGGGACCTGGCAAAGCTGGGAGATCAGGGTGGAGGCACAGGTGGCAGGCATTGGGTGGAGTGGGGTGCCCAGAGGGCAGACTGTCTAGAATTAGTTTCACCTGGAGCATTGTCTTTCTGTGGGCTGCTGATTACTGCACATAGCCATGTGCGGTGGAAGGCGATGGGAAAGAGCAGGGATCAAATGCAGTATGAATACTCTTGCTTGTGATCTCAGCACTCTGGGAGGCTGAGGCAGGAGAATGGCAAGTTCCAGCCCCAGCCTGGGCAGTTTAGCAGCTTAGCAAGACCCTGCCTCAAAGTAAAACATAAATTTTAAAAGGGCTGGGGATTTAGCTTAGTGCGAAGGCCTGGGCTCAAATTGCCAGTATGGGAAAAAGACAGAGCAGAGGTGATTTTTAAAGGGGGAGAACTAGAGAACAGGGATCACGGGTGTGGTGCTCTCCATGGGTTCAGGAGAGTGGAGTCTGCCCCTTGTTGGAAGCAATGCTGCCCATTTTGGCTCTCACCTGTCCCCTACTGCAAGCCCCCAGGGGTCCCTCAGGCACAATCTCTCTTCTGTTCAGGCTAGAAACATCCCTTTTCCTCCTAACACTCAGGACCTGCACCTCGACCAGTTCCCAAGCAGCTCCTCTCCCACAGCCTGCCACCCCCGGCAGTGGCCCCTTCTCCCTTCTGAATCACACCTCTAAGTCTCCTCAGGGGGTGGCAGCAGGGCTCAGCGCTCACAGAAGTCATTCTCTTCCCTGTGGTCAGCTAACAGTGTAACGGCCTTACCTGTCGCCTCTCTGTGGCAAGAACACGTCCCAGGCAGAGCCCTAGAGAAAGAGCCAACAGGAGGAAGTCTACACAGCCACTGTCGCTGGTGTCCCCAATGATGTGTTCTGAGACTCCTAGGGGATCCCTGAAACCACAGACAGTGCCAAACCCTACAGACACTATGTTCTTCTGTATATATATATATGCACCTCTGAATAACTATGATTTATAAATCAGACACAGTAAGAAGTAACAGATTACTAAGAACAGTTACAAGGATGCATATGGTAAAAATTGTGTGAATGTGGTCTCTCAAAATACCTCTGTGTTCCCCATAAGCACAGGTGGGTAGCAGGCACAGCAGGGGACACTGGAGAAAGGGACTATTCCTAACTCAGGAGGGACAGAGCAGGGAGGTGTGACAATTCATTATGCAGCTCAGAACTGCCTGCAGTTTAAAGTGTATGCATTCTTTCGGAAATTTCTATTTAATGTTTATGACTCACAGTTGACTGCAGTAGCTGAAACTGTGGAAAGTAGGCCCAGGCTGGTCTCAAACTTACGATTGTCCTGTTTCAATCTTCCAGTTACTGTGGCTGCGACTACAAGTGTCACCACCGTATCTGGCATGGTCTTTTATTTTTTCTTACATCTTTCAACTGCCTGCTGAGGCCTGCCACTGCATCTGCATCGTGAAAGGTAATCTGCTTTACTCAGTCTGTTGATTTAATTGTTGCTGTCACTTAACAAACACCTTCAGAGAAACATGTAGAACAGGGTTCCATCAGATGCCTGGCATAGCGCCCAGCTAGGCTGACACGAGACGTTAACCTAGCAGAGATCCTTGTCTAGTCTCTAGTGTGATCCTGCACACTGCATATTTCTTTCTGGATGTCTTTGGTGTTTCTATCTTTTGGTTTCTGCTATTCTGTATGTCTCCTATATTCTAAGAAAAGAAGAGCATTTGTTTTCGATATAAAAATAATAGTCTTTCTGGATGAACGAGGAAGGCATGGCATGGTTAGAAGTGGGCAGGAGAAAAGACTGTTGGCATGTTTACACTATTTGGTATTTTTAATAAAATATCAACTATTTGTATAAAAATTCATTTAAAAATAAAAATGCTCATTTAAATTACTTAAAAGCTGATATGCTCCTAAAGAGGGAAAAATAATATAAAATATAACAAATATATAAGATAGAATATAAAAATGTGAAAACTTAGAACTAATAAGTAAAAATAATGCAATTATAATAACTGGATTTCAATGTGGAAAAATTAATTTTAAATCCATACTGAAGAATTAATGTCCAAGAATAACCAAGATCATTTGAAAAAGAAGAGTGAGGAAGATTAGCTTCTCAATGTTAAATCATATTTTAAAGCTACAAAATTAAAATGATATATTGCAAAGACAGAGGAATAGACCAGAACATCCTGACACAGAGCCCATTATTTAAGAAACTTGTGTATAAAAAGTGCCATTTCAACTTAGCCTGAACAGGGCAGCTTGTCCAATAGTTGGGTGGACGCTTCTCCTATACACCTGGAGGAATGTGAAATCCCCTCCCTGTCTCATACCCTCTGCAAATGCCATTTTGATTAAATATCTAAATATAAAAGTTAACACTACAGAAAGCCAGAAAAAATTAGAATAGCTGTATTTTATAATTAGAGGGGGCATTCTTAAGCAAGGCACAGGTCTAGAAAATATAAACAAAAAGATACAAATTTCACTTGCCTAAAAATTTGCAAAAAGCCTTCATACTGAAAGACAAAAGGCAAATAAAGAAGTCTGTTAGGAAAAGAATTTACGACACACAAAGAGTTGCTTTCTCTGTTTACTTAAAGAGCTTTGAAACATTGACAGAAAAAAAAGTCACCTGATAAAGTGAGGTCACCATACAAAGAGGGAAGTCACAGAAAAGAAAATTGTAATTAAAAATGAATAGTTGAAAACAGTGGACACAGGAAGGGGTTAGAATAGCAAAATGTTATTTTTTATCCCTCAAATTGGCATAGATTCAAGCTGAGCGTGATGATCGTAGGGGAATGGACATTCTCAAGAGACTTGGGAGCCATGGCAACCTTTGGGAAAAGCCAAAAGCCAAGACCCGTGAATGTTCAGAATATGTCATTTCTCTTTTGCAGCAACTTGGTTACCTTATATAAAGCAGTGAGGTCATCAGAAAGATAGAATTCAGGCAGAAGGTTGTTTACTGCAGCACTTAGGGTAACACTAGAAGCGGGGAGAGGGTGCATACAGCGTGTTTTAGCCTTATTATGGGACATCACATAGCTACGGAAAAGCATGGGGTGAGGTCTCTTCCTATGTATCATATTGACCTGGATGGATGGTCATAGTATTTTAGTAAGTGGAAAAGGGTCAGTTATAGCAGGATATGGATCATATGATTTAATATTTATTTTTAAAAGAAGATAAAAGAGCAAAATGTTATTTTGTATATATTTGTTTATAAATATAGATATACATATCTTCTAAATATAAATCTGTATATAAATAGATACCCAGTACTTCAGATACATGAGATTTAAAGAAGAGTTGGCAATAAAACAGATAAAGACAAAAAGATGGATTATTTGCTACGTTTTAGCCCTTTTCCCTAAATCTTTGGGGAAACCTGGAGCCAGTGTCATGTGCCTCGGTCCCTCAGCCTGCCCCAATCTGACCAGCATGACAGTTTATTAGATTATAAAAAAGCAAGCAGAGAGCCGGGGGATGCCGGGAGCCCGTGTCAAATCACAAGCGGAAATCCCAACTGTGCTGCCTTCGCACCTGGCCAGCCAGAGCGTTCTCACGTGTCAGACTTGAAAGTCACATCAGAGAGACAATGACAAAGAGAATCCTCTCTGGGGTAATGGCGAAGAGAGTGAGCTATGTGCAACTTCATTGAATGACAATGAGTCAGAGTCTACATGAGGAAATAAATTTGAGAAGAAATACAACTTTGATTTTCAAAAGCTTGAAGGGCTATCTTAGAGGACAGGATACCATACTCTATGTTGCCTGAAAAATAAGGGAAGACCCAGGGAAGAAGTCGTAAGGAGGCTGACTTCAGCTCAGGGAATGGAAAAGCCTACTAGGATTCCTCTCCCCATCCCATGTCTTCTGTAAAATGGGAGTTAATAACCACACACTTGAAGGAAGACACAGAGGCTGGTGGTGATCAGACAGGATAAAGCACAAACCAGCAGTGTATCCGAAAGCAATGTTCCTTAGCTTTTTATGCCTTTACTTAGAATCTTAAAAAAATCTTGACGCTGGCTTCAGGTTAATTCAGTTATAGCCCCTGGAGTCTGGACTTCTGCAATTTCTAGTGCTCCCTGGGTAATTCCATTGCATACCCATTGTGTAATTCCTCTGAGAACTAGCAACTGATGGGAATCATAATTAGCTGTGGAAAAAGTGGGTTTCATTTGAGGCAGATCAGGGGCCAGTTTTTCTTTCCAGGCTCATCAGTCTAACAGTTGGAGTTGCAGGGTGGAGCTGTACATTTCTGAAGAGCAATCAAGACCACACGACCAGTCTATACCAGGAGTCATGGGGAAGCTAAGTTAGGTACCATGTGTCTATTTCTAGGCACATGACAAGCAACACAAAATCTACTAACTTCGAGCCTTTCCTCTAAAAATGCTAAGTGGAAAGAGCCAGGAGATCAAGTGATAGAGTTTAAGGAGGTCCAGAAAGAGCCACGGATACCACTACATCGTCTAGGGGCTGGTTATATGATTTTATTATCTGCAGTTTTTATCACGGGATGCACACATTAAACAGTCATATCCTAAGGAGCGATTCTTAATGGAGGCCAGAGGAGGAAGCTGCTAAAGCTCTTGCTCCTCTGACTCTCAAGACCCTGCCCCATGACACTCAAGGAAAGAAACCCAGCTAAAGCCCTAAGTCCAGCTGTGAAAGTCCATCTTGGGAGAGAAGTGACTAACCAGTAGCATCTGCCAAAATGGTGATGAATTCTGTATGAATCAGTCCGTGACTCAGCATCTAGATAAAAGCTCATTTGGAGTGCTTAGGGCACAGGAAGTGTGGGATGGTGATCCTTTTCTGCTTCGCATGGTCAGGTTGCCCCTGGCATTGGCGGTCCAGTGCTGGGCACCAGCTTTCAAGAAAGACAAGGTCCAGAAGGCAAAGGACTGGGGAGGGGTCTGCAGCTGGTGATGAGGTGAGGCACCACCATTCTGAGGTCACTAAGGAAGCAGGTTAAGTCAGCAGAAGGCATCAGAGAGGAAGAGGGGGGTTGGATTTTCTCTTGTGTGGATCCAGGAGGCAGAACTGGGCCTCCATACAGGAAGACCTGACTCTGTCAACAGCGTCCCTGAGGAATCTGTTGTGGCATTCAAACAACGTAGGATGACCACCTGGCGGGGGGAGGTGTTGGAGTGGTGTGGGGAGGCTGAACCAGTTGACTCATGATCTCCTTGGCTCTTGTGCTTTCAAAATTTGTGATCCCCCCACTTAATTTTCTGCACCTTGCTTGATGCAGAATCAAGTAATTATTGCTAGCAAACCTGGTCATGGCTGTGAATCACACTACTTTCTTTTACTCCCCTACCCCCAGCTGAAGAAGGCAGAGCTCCCTGCCTGACCTTCAAAATCTAACATTTAAAAATCTGTCACAGATGTATACCTCCTGTGCCGGATGTAGGATGCTGGGGGAGCTATAGAACAGAAGTTACAAGGAGCGATCTCCAAAACAATTCTTCTGACCCCAGGCATTGATAGGCTAAAGAGAAGGCAGTTTCCAAAGAAAATGTAGCTGTTACTGATAATTCCATTTTTTTTATAAAAGAAAACAAAGCAAAGCCTCTTCCTGGGGAAAAATCCTGCTCCAAGTTCTTGGTGCCCCCCCCTCCCCCGCAAAGCCAATGATCTTGTGCTTGGCACTGTATCAGGTCAGACAGAAGGAAGCCTTAGAGTTGATACATTCTAGATTCTTCCTTGTCCAAATGGGAGAAGGCCCAAGGGCAAGGAGATTATTAGTTCAAGGTTACTGGGACTGTGGTCAGCTGTCCATACACCAGCCTAGGGCTGCACATCTTTATGGGTCTAGAAGTTTTCCCCAGCTGTCTCCCTTAAAAGGAAGGAGGTCCTAGTAGCTCCGGGGCCTGCAGGCTGTGCCTCAGTAGACAGGGAGAGGGAAATGCAGGCCCTGACCACAGAGCTCTCCTTTAGCCCTTTGCTTTCACAAGGTTCTCTAAGTCTGCTCCTGCAAGCCAGGCTACCTGGACCTATCTCCCACCCATCTTCCCTGTCTGGCAGGGCTCAGCCATCCTTGGTCCACAGTGAGGTGGCTCAACTGCTTCCCTAGGAGGCAGCTGCACGTCAGGAGCTTGTGAACTTGTCCCTTCTCTGCCAGGCTTGGGTGCCTGTGACAATGTTCCTGCTCTCAGCAAAAGGCAGTAGAGGATGACTGAATCCTTCCGGACCCACAGATCAGCTACTGGAGGGCTCTGTGAAATGCATGCCTCAGTGTGACTGCAAACCAGTGAGAAGTTCAAGTCTGAGGCCACTGTGCTTTAACCCAGGCTGGTGTGGCAGGGATCCCACGCCCATGAAGCCACCCTACTTGACTGGGTGCCCAGTGGAGGTTGATAATAATTGCTTAAGCTGCATGGATCACAGATCATGGACACTGGAGAGGGTTTTTGGTCCCCCAAATATAAGCATTTATGTTTCCACTTGGCCCAGTGAATCTGCCCAGGATCTTCACCTCAGCCTGACCGATCAGGGAATCTGCACATTTTCATACTCAGCCTCACACGATGGCCCTCGCCAGCTCACCCTCATTATTACTGTTTCAAGGGGACGAGCTAAGTGGAGCATGCTTAATGCGAAAGATTCACGTCCAGTAGGGCCAAGCGACTCTGAGATGGTTTTGGGTACTGGGAACCAGCCAGGATAGAGCAGCTTTCTCGCACCCCAAACCCTATGTAGAGAGGCACCCCAAAGGCTGGTTCTTTCTGGAGCACAGTCCCTAGCTCTGAGCCTCTGGCGAACCCAGAGTAGAACCAGCTGCACTGGAGGGTCGCCCTCCCTGGGGACTGAAACGCCATTCGCAGTACGGATGCGCCCCCAGGTGCCCCCCGCCGGGCGCTGCACCGCACCCCCTCCCCGCTTCCAGAAAGCTCCTCGTGCTTTTTGTGGCATTCTTTGGGCGTGAGTCATGCAGGTTTGCAGCCAGCCCCAAAGGGGGTGTACGCGAGCCGAGTGCTATAAATACGGGCCTCAGCGAGCTCACCACCCTGAGTCGCCAGGAGGAGCGCACGGGAGCAGGCGCCGCGGACCGGTGAGCTGTGCCCATCTTCCCAGACCCCGCGCAGGGACACACGGGGCCCTGCTGGCCCCCCGCCCGGTGGGGAGAAGTGACAGCTCCAGGGAGCCCCTGGGGAGCCGGGGATGGGAGGCAGCCAGAGCTGCGTCGGCCGGCAGCTGAGCCAGGGACCAAGCTGCAAGGACTGCGCGCAGGCCGGAACTCAGGAGTCGCTGTGCGCGTTACCTCCACGATTTTACAGCAGTCACTCGGCACTCGTACAAGATCCTGTTTTGTTTTTGTTTTTTGCAAAGACGGGTAAATTGAGACCCAGAGCTTCAGGCCTGTGGCCGGAGCAGGAGCAGGGGCGTGAGCGGGGGCGCGGCTGACCGAGGCGCCCCCTGCAGCTCTCTGCGCTCCGCGAGGGTGCGAATCCTGGCTGCGGCTGGCGCTGCGTGGGTGCGGCGTCAGTGTCTCCCATTTCTGCCGAGAGCGCGTTACAAATACGATATTGAGGATTTAAGTAAACCCAACAGCCACCCAAATCCTGCTTAGTCTTCTTTCTAATGCACTCAAATGCGTTAATGAGAAGTCACAAGCTCCACCAGGCCTCAGACATCTAATGTGTGGCCTGGAGAGGAACAGGGCTCCACTCCAGCATTAAACTAAGACAGAACTGGGGGTAGGGTACGGAAACCCCTGGGCCTTCTAGAACTTCTGGCCCCAATACTTTTTTTAAAAAAAAGCTTATGATGACTTTATGTTTTTAAAGCGACAGGATAGGAATCTAAGAGTCAGTACAGATACTATAAAAGGATCCTTGTGAGAGTGCCATTTCAGTGCCCAGCCTTGTGAGAATGGTTAAGGTAAACTCTAACACTTCTGTGAATAGACTGCTGTTACACAGCCTCAACAGGGTGCTTTTAAGGAACACTTGCTTGTGTACAAATGCATAGGGAGTAGAGGGCTGCATACCACAGAGGAAAGAGGCTGGGAAGGGAGGTTGGTAGCCGTGGTGGGGCTGGGGGCCGCCAAGATAAGGGGAGGCAGTCTGCAGAGGGAGGGCAGCCAGCCACACAGTGATGCCTGTGCTGTCCTTGGGCCACGGGCCTCCACTCTGCCTGCGAACTTATCAGCACTGTCACAAGACCTCTGGGAATTGCACTAAAGATTGGGGTGGTGGGGGAGGCAGGCAGCCTCTGCCCCTCTCCAGATGCTACAGTTAGATGTTACTACTGCTCGCACTCAATCCTGAAGTTTCTTTGGGAGTGAGTCATGCAGGTTTGCAGCCAGCCCCAAAGGGGGTATACGCTAGCCTAGCCGAGTGCTATAAATACGGGCCTAGTAGTCAGACTTTACTAGGAACATGAAGGATCCTTGTGAAAATGAGTTCGTACCTCTGAGTTTTGTATTAGAGCCATTTTACAGCCAAAGAAACAGGCTCAAAGATTTCAATGACTCCACGCCCAGGAAGAAATTCTAGACTAAGAGCCCGGAGAGCTGGGCTCTTGCCCTTTCTCAGCTCCTCAGACCCAGCCTCCCAGTGGCAGACCTGATCCTGAGGCTCACCTCTAGACCCTGCCCCTTCTGGCTTTAGAGCCCGACTCCCGCCCTGCTGGTCCCAACCTGTTTCCAAGGACCAGGAGTGAATTTCCCAGAAGCTCTTGGGTCCTCTCTGGAAAGGTGTTCTTGGCTAGCTCTATGGCTCTAGCATAACAGAGGCTGTGTCCCTGCTAGAGGCACTGCAGGCCTCAGAGAGCAGCTGGCCAGGGCCCGTGTGCCTGGTAGACCTGAAATTGGCTAGCCCAGCCACCCACCCAATACTGGGGAGGTGCCAGCCTACTCTTCTCCCACGATGCCTTTGCTCTGTGCATCTAATTACCTCTCAGCAGTGCCTTCTTTATTATGATCTACTGGTGCATCCAGATGGGCCTGCTGGGCTGAGAGCAGTTCTCAGATGTGACCCATTTCAGGACCAGGGGACCCTCTCTTACTGATCCTACTGCTATGGGAAGTGGGTGAGCTCCCATGGACAGTCTGGAATATAGTAGGGGTATTGGGGGGAGGGGTTTCTATTTTATGCAACAACTTCAGCTTCTGGGAAAGGGTCCATTGTGTAAGACCCAGGCTGTGGCCCATGTCCCCTGGTTCAGGGCAGCCAGCCCGGTGGTGGCAGGGGCACCTTGGCAGAGCACACTGGTGCAGGCTTAGAGGGAGTGGGCCGTGTGAAAGGGACCTGGCAGAGCCAAGGGGCTCGTCCTCCCGAGGGACTTCTTGGGAGCCTGCTTCTTGGGCTGGAGCCCAGTTCCTCTGACCCCAGGGATCCTGTTTCCCTGTCACCGCTGTCCTGTGGTTCCTCCCTTGGCTTTTTGAAGGTGTCTGTGGCAGGTCTGGGTTTTTTTTTTCTCAAGTTTTTCAAGGATAAACTTGCAGCTGATGCCCTCAGGCTCCCAGAAGTTGTGGCAGGAAACCAAGAGGCAGACTTAACTGTTACCTGACAGTCTCCTTTCTCTCCATACAGACACCTTTCAGAATTCGAGTTGGACAGGGCGGCATCATGAAGACCCTGCTGCTGTGTGTGGCCTTGTTGCTGGCCACGGAAGATGGAAGAGTTCTGTGTGACCCACTGGTCTCCGACAGTGAACTCCAGGGTCAGTAGACCATGTGTGGCCCTCAGGCAGCCCCAGGACTGGCTGCTGCCTCTGCTCAGCAACCTCTGCAAAGCTTGGGGTCTATGGCCCTGTGCCAGCCCTCTGGGTCTCTGTCCCAGCTCCCAGCTTAGACTCCCTGTGCCCAAGGGCCTTTTAGGCTGTGGTCTGCATGTTCCAAGCCCTTCTGGTTGCTGCCTGTCATTCAGCAGTTCCCTCCCTGTCCCCCAGACTGGCTGCCTCACCTCCTCCTGAGATGTTTTGCCCTTGAGCCTTTGTCCCTCTCCTCTTTGTGGTGTCCCCAACTCTTACCATGTGTCCTGACCTGACCACCCAAGAGCCAGGTTCTACTTCTCTGCCTCCAGGAGACAGAAGAACTGATCAGCTAGAGGCCACCTCTTCCCGAGGCCTTTTCTGAAACCTGGCCTTTTTCTGTCCCATTTCCTGCTCCTAACTGACCAATTATGTGTCTTAGACACCCAGACTTCACATTCAGACTTGGCTTTGCCTTTGCCTAACTGTAGATCCTTAACTATTATCTTGGTTTTTTTGTATCTCATGCTTCTCCCACATCCCAGCATTATTGAGCTATCATTGGCAAAGACAGTTTGGCAAAGACAAATTATCTATTATGGTATCCTTTCTCTCATTGCTGGGACAAAATACCTGACACCCAAAATGAAGAAAGGAAAGGTTTATTTAGCTCACTGTTTGTGGAGGTTTCAGTCCATAATCAGCTGGCTCCAAGGCAAGGTGGTACTATATTAGGGCAGCGCTTCAAGGCAGCAGCCAGCAAAACGGAGGCGGAGGTGAGCAAGCCTCTTTTCCTCCTTTATATTGTATACAGGCCACCCTTCCTCCAGGGTAGATACAGCATTGGCAAAATCTCTGTGCCCTCCTCTTGCATAAGATGAGAATATTTACAAAATAAGGATCCTGGCTTCCTGATGAGTCTCTTAGTTAAACTTGTAAACTGGTCAAGTTGACACAAGGTATCAACCATAATGTGTGGTAGACAGCTTGATGCTTTGATACACGCACATCCTGGAGGACAGTTGCCACCATCCAGCTGGGCAGCATATCCCTCCCCTCACCCAGCTTCCTTTCATGCTTGTGATGAGTACTGTACAGACATCACTCCTATAATGACCTGGTTCTGATCCTGCGACTTGGTTGTTAGGCGCCTTGGTCACTAAATGAGCGTAGATCATGTGACCATTACAATATTCAGCACAAACAAATGGTCAAAGGAAACTGCAACTTGATGACTTTCTTTTTTATCTGCATAACTTTCACGTGCAATACAGTGTATGATAGAACATGAAGCTACAGCACTGTACTGTACAGAACAACCAGCAACAGCTGCAGTACTGGAGGAACCAGGTTCACTGTACAAAAAGGCTCTTTGCCCCGCACCTCCCTCCTCCACTTCCTGACCCTGGAATGCATGTGAAGTGTTCCATGTGACACGAGACCAACTGGGCTCAGTGGGGCTTCAGTGACAATGTCTTACTGCCTTTGTCACTTGGTGCTGTGCCTCCGTGACAGTTACACTCTCCCGGTGTCATCTCCCTGTCACCTGCCACTGTGCATTAGGACAGAGAAGCACAGATGATCAATTAAACTGAGTTCCAAAAGTATCTGTGGCAAAAATAACAGTATATTTTGATGCTTCACATTTATACTTTTGTGTGTGTTCCTTGAAAATTGCCTGCCGGTTTCCAGGGTGACGTGGCAGGCAGTATGGGCACAGCACTGCCATCCCTTCTCTGCCGTGTGCACTCCCACTGAGCGTGACTGCGCAGGCTTGTGATCTGAACCTGTGTCCCACAAGGCAGGGGCCAGACAGCTGCCAGCCTGGGGTGGAGCTAGGGGGTCCCCAGCTTTAACAGGCTTTCTGACCATTTGCTTCTCTCCCCAACTTCATTTCTTTCTCTTTTGCAGAAATGTCCAACCAGGGCAGTAAGTACATCAATAAGGAAATCCAGAATGCTGTCAAGGGGGTCAAGGAGATAAAGAACCTTATAGAAAAAACAAATGAGGAACGCAAGACCCTGCTGACCACCTTAGAGAAGGCGAAGAAGAAGAAAGAGGTAAGGGTGACAGAGAGCAGGGCCCTCACCCTGCCCCTGCCTGCTGGAAGAGAAGGACCCTGCAGGGGTCCCCTCCTGGGTTGCCATGGTGAGTCGCAGTCCTCTCTGGGCGGTGTCAGCTGGTGCTGCCGCTGCAGGGGAGAAATAGGGAAAGTTTATTTGCTTTTGAAAGCCTCAGGGGATGAGAACTGGGATCTGGTTTTGTTACAAGTTTGGCCTGAGGCCAGGTGCCCAGATTCATTTCAATAGATTTTTCTAAAGCTGGACCAAGCAGGGCTCCCAGGGTGCCTCTAGGGAGGGAGTGGGTAGGGTGGGGAGATTGCTGTTCACATCTGATCTCTTTCTTTCCTTTCTTTTTTTCCTCTCTCTTTGGTGGAACACACCAGTAACTGATTTTTTTTGAAAGTCTCTAATTTATTGGTTACGTTTTCAATAGACATAATGATCACATTCATCATAGGGAATTTCCACCTGGGCATGATGTCTTGATTCCTTTTTCCCATTCCCCTTCCCTCCCTTCAACTCCTCTTTCCCTCCTTATTCACAAAGCTTTGTTCACATTTTTTCCTTCTTTCCTTGCTTTTTTTTTCTTTTCCCTTCCCTCTTGCCTAGTTCCTCTTCCCCTTTGAGCGATTTCTTCCTTTTTCATAGGATCTGGTGTACATTTTGGTTAAAATGGATCAAAGATGTCGATATTAAAACAGAAACACTAATTCTGCTGGAAGGAAAAATAGGTAGAACTCTTGAAGGCAGCGGTGTAGGCAAAGAGTTTATGAACAAACCCCGACCATGGGAAGTATTACAGACAAGCAGTACCTGGATTTCATCTTATTAAAAAGCTTTTGCATACCAAAAGAAACCAGGATCAGAGTGAAGGGACAATCCACAGAGGGGGGAAGCATCTTTGCCAGCTGCTCCACAAAGGACAGATATCTAGAACACACAAAGAATTGGAAACTATCAGATACTCTCCCGCCAAATTTAAAGGCCCTATTCCAAAATGGGCATCGGAAATGAATGGACAGATGCTTCTCAAATGAAGAAGCTCAAACAGTAAATAAATATGTGAAAAAACACTCAACATCATTGGTCATTAGAGAGACATAAATTAAACACTGAGATTCTACCTCACTCCAGAAAGAATGGCTGTCAATAAGAAGTGAACCATAACATGCTGGAGGGGCCTGGGGAAGAAGGAACCCTTCTCCACTGTTGGTGGAGTGTAGACTGGTGCAGCCACTGTGGACATCAGTGTGGAGATTCCTCAAATAACTAAAAGTAGAGGCCCCATTTGACCCAGCTATTTCTCTCCTGGGTATCTTCCTGAAAGAATTAAAAACATCCTGCCACAGTGATATATTCATATCCATGTTTATGGCAACAGTTTGTAACAAACAAATCTTGAAAACAGCTCAAATGCACATCAGTCAATGAATGGATAAAGATGTATTTAATAATACAATGAAGTACTACTTAGCCATAAAGAAGGACATGCTTGAGACATTTCTAGGTAAATAGTTGCATACTCTTAAGTGAAATAAATCAAACACACATGTAAATATCACATTGTTTCTCTGGTGTGAGAAACTAAAAATGTAAATAAGGATATCTGATCTATTTCTTGCCCTTCTTTTTCTCTATACTTTTTTGCCAATAGCTATATTCAAAATTATGAATTTCAGGTTTTTTTTTTTTTTTTTGAGACAGGGTCTCACTGTGTAGCCCAGGCTGGCTTCAAACTGGCAATGATTTTCCTGCCTCAGCCTTCCAAGTGCTGGGATTACAGATGTGTTCTGCCATGCCCAGCAATGGATTTTTAACATGAAAATGCTTACTGTAATATTTAAAATTTACTGTAAACATCTATTACCTTCCTGTTGTACAAAGTAGCCCCACTTATTCATGGGGGAGATGGTCCAAGACCCCAGGGTATGTCTGAAACCACAGATAGTACCAAACTATTTCTTTACACACACACACACACACACACACACACACACACACACACATATATATATATATATATATATATATGGAGAGAGAGATAATGTATATGATAAGATTTATTAATTTGGCAAGTAAGATTAATAATAATAATAAAATAAAATAGTAATACAAAAATAGTAATAAAATAGAACAGTTATCTTAATTTCTCATTGCACTGTAGTAGTGTTTTTGGTAATACTGTGCTTACCTGTGGAGAGCTGAAATTGCTGATCAGGAGACCTACAGTTCCACAATTTAACTTTCTTCTATTTTGAGCATCTGCTTTGAGTTGATTCTGATATGTATGTGTATGTATATGTATACATACTTAAATCATTAATTTATTTTTTCTTTTTTGCATAATACCGTAGTGTGATGTCTCTAGGCATACAGATTTTTTTTTTTTTTATTGGTGCAGCCTCCTGAGATAAGCTCCTGGAGAGTTACCGGGTTGGATGACGGGTGCATGAGTGAGGTCTGGTGGTTGATGCGAGTTGGGCCTTGACAGGCTGCTGATTCCCCTGGCACGCAGCAGAAATATGAGATTCGGGGAGACTCTGTCTGCTTTGGAAGAGACACTTTATCTTATTTTATTTCCCCCCATTTATTTACATTTCTTAATTGAACCCTTTATACGTCTACTCAGCCACCTTAACCACTTTTAAGCGAACAGTACGGTACGCTGTTGTGGGTTTCTTTCTTCTTGGAGATAAGAAACGCTACCCATTAAACAGCACCGCCCCACCTCCTGCACCACCCTCTGGTGGCTACCTTTCTGCTTTCCTTTTGCCTGTTTTTCCCACTCTTTTGAAATTGGTGGTAACAGGTTAATGGCCTTCCTTTCAGCAGATTTGTGCACACACCTAACAAACTTTGATCATGCACCCCCTCACCCCCCAGATTTAAACACTGGCAGTGGAGAATAGAAAATGAGATAAAAGTGAAATCCAGTGAGCGGTGCTGTGTGAGTTGTAGAGGCCGGGAGAGGCTGGGGAGCAGATATACCTTGCTGCATGGGTGTGGCGGGGAGCATCGAAGGTAGCTGGGGCCGGGGCTGGAGCAGCCTGGGAAGGAGCGCATGGGAGACCAGACCACGTCGAGGCTTGTGGGTGCAGAGGGCCTGGATCCTGGGCGCATTGGCCTGGTGAGGCCTGCAGGCTGTGTGGTTCACCAGGCCTGGTGTCTCCCTGCAGGATGCCCTGGAGGAGACCAAGGATTCTGAGCTCAAGCTGAAGGCGTTGCCGCAAGTATGCAATGAGACTATGATGGCCCTCTGGGAAGAGTGCAAGCCTTGCCTGAAGCAGACCTGCATGAAGTTCTACGCACGTGTCTGCAGAAGTGGCTCAGGCCTGGTTGGCCGCCAGGTGAAAGGGGGTTTATGCGTGGCCCAGGCTCTGAGTGGGGAGTAAGGGGAATCCAGTGAAATACTGTACACTCCATTTCATACTCGAGAAAAAATTGATTAGTACTAGCTGGCTGCCTGCCCCACTCCTCCCCCATCCCACTGTGCTATAATTGATTGGTGATGTCTGCCATGAGTGCAGCTATCACAAGTATGCACGCTATGTGTTTGCCATTTCTAAGGAGACTCTATCCAGAAATGACTATCTGGATAAAACATAATAAACAGCTTGCTGGTATGGCAGGGCTCCCCTACTTAAGGAGGAGAATGAAGAAATGTCAGTGCCCACTTGTTTGGGTTTCTGAACTTTGCCATTAAGGCTGAGCAGCTGAGTAGGGGTGGGTGTCCTCAGGAAACTTTTGAGTCTTGTGACCTCGTAGGGGTCTCTAAACTCTACCCTTTGTCAAGGTAGACAGAAGGCACTGGTCTCACAGTTGGGAGCCTGGGGCCCAGTTCCAGCAGAGAACTTGGTCACTACAGGACCACATTGAGAGAGAGATGGGCTTCAGGGGGTTTCCCTGATAACTGCCTTCTCACTGACTTTCTTGCCTGTACCCCAGCTCGAGGAGTTCCTGAACCAGAGCTCTCCCGCCTACTTCTGGATGAATGGTGATCGCATTGACTCCCTCCTGGAAAGCGACCGGCAGCAGACCCACGTCCTGGATGCCATGCAGGACAGCTTCAACCGGGTGTCCGGCATCATGGACACACTCTTTCAGGACAGGTTCTTTACCCAGGAGCCCCAGGACACTCACTACTTCTCCCGCTTCGGCCTCCTTCTCAGGTGGCCACACTTCCTCTACCCCAAGTCCCGCCTGGTCAGGAGCATCCTGCCCCTCTCCCCATTTGGGTCCCTGGGCTTCCATGACGACATGTTCCAGCCTTTCTTCGAAATGATACACCAGGCCCAGGAGGCCATGGAGCCCCACTTCCACAGGCCGGCCTTCCAGCCCCTTGGCAAGGACTTCACGAAAGGTTAGAATGGGGACTCTTTCTTTCCAAGGAGGGGTGAGAGGCAACCCATTTGGTGCTAGGCTGGCCTGAGGTTTGGGGTGTCAGCTTTATGTTTCCAGGCAACCCCATGAGGCTGGTCTTATTCCCGTTTAAAGAGCAAAAGACAAGTCAGGCAGATAAAGGAACGCATCTGAGGTTTCACAGTTGACAGACAAAGGGAAATCCAATCCAGCCTGCTCCAGCGAGCCCTGCAGGTTTGGGTCAGTTCCTTCCAGCCAGCAATTATGTCCTTTAAGCAACTGCTAGGTGACGTTGACTGGTTTTCCTGTAGGATCAGGGCCTCTGCTCCCCCTGGGAACTTGGGCCCTTGGTGTGGGAGTCATGTATGTGTTTCCTGGCAGTGCCTTATGTCACAGCCCATGTCCTTGTGGCTGGGACCCTGGGGCCTGGCTCGAGGTGGATACTCAGTGCCAAGTGCTCCTCTGAAAGAATGAAGGGGAAAGTGACCACACACAGCCAGCACTTAGGGTTAGGGTCAGACTCTGTTCCTTTAGCCTCACTTTGCTGGACTGCATGGTGTGAGCTGGTGGGCACCTGAGTTTGCTTGGAGTGCATTGGAAACCTGGGAGGGCCCTGTACAGAGTACACACCTCCTGCAGCTCTGTCAAGGATGGAGCACAGTGGTGGCGGGGGCTCCAAGGAGAACGCACTTCTGCCACCCTGTCTGTGACTTGCCAGGTGGTTACGGTGACTGCAAGGGACAGGGAGGCAGGAGTGGTCTTGCCAAATGGAGGGTAGCTGGACCCGGCCAAGGGGCCACAGTACATCACCAGGGCACCCCCAGTGTGGCTCATACTTGTGAGCAAGAAGTGAGTTCCAATCTGCTCTGGCCACTGTTCGGTCTCCAGGGACAAACAGTAGCACAGAGGGGTTCCCAGAGGCCGGCAGGCCGCCTCTGTGCTGCAGTGGGCCTTAACCTGCTTTTTTCTCCCCATGTCTCCCCAGAGGTTCCCGATAACCGCACCGTGTGCAAGGAAATCCGCCGCAACTCCACTGGCTGCCTGCGGATGAAGGACCAGTGCGAGAAGTGCAGGGAGATCTTGTCTGTGGGTGAGTCGGAGTGCGCTGCACATTGCCTCTGTTCCTGGCTCCCCAGTACCTCACCGGGGCTGCCTTTATTCTCAGTCTGGCTCTGTGCTTGATGCCATGGTGGCTGGCTTGTGGGGTACAGGCAGTCCCCATGGGGGCTGCGAGGTTTTAGGAAAATACCACCTCAGTTTGACTTCCTAGCTCTTCTACCCCTGAGCGCAGGGCACAGTCAAGGCCTAGGCCTCCTCCACAGATGGTGACATCCTGGTGCGCATTTTGTGTTACAAACACTTGCCCGGGGCCAAGGACTAAACTCTTCACAAGGGTTTGCCCATTTCCTTGTGAGCTGAGCTCCTTCGTGCAGAAGAGGAAGCCCAGTCCTTGGGGGGATTAAGCAATTTACGCAGGCTGGGCTTGGGGCTGTTTTCCTGAGCAGCCCAGCGGTTCCTCCATCTACACGAGTTACTGGCTATAACTAGGGGTCCCAGCAGGATTCCCTTTGTTGAGTTGTTCCCCTAAGCAAAGAAATATTTCCTTCCAGCTGCTCTCCTCTGTTTGATCGTTTCTGGCTGCACTTTAAATTCTCCCTACTTTGGCGCCACAGCTGTAAGAGTCTTTAGACCTGCTCAGGAAAGTTCTTGTGTGCCCTTGTAGCTTATTGATCTGTGGCTTTGCTCTTAAAACATGTGGGTTTGCCTGGCCAGGCCTTTGGAGTCTTTTTAAATATTCCTGGTCTCGCTCCTGCGAACTTAGGAGCCAATGTACAATAAATACTAGTGCTATCAGAAGCTGGGGCATAAAGACATTGTAGATGAGTATAAGACTAGCCTCGTGGGCTTTTCTTATAAAAATGTCACAGACTAGGGCTGGGGATTTAGCTCAGCGGCATAAGTGCCAGCCTGCCAAGCGCGAAGCCATGAGTTTGATTCCCGGTAACCCACCCCACCCCCGCAAAAAAAGAATCACAATAACATCAGGGGCATAGTACTTCATCACTAGAAAGCCAGCTCAGGGTCAGAAGAGAAGATGAATAGAAACCTAGGGTTGGGTCAGATGATTGCACCACGGTGAGTGGTGGCCATTCATAGGACAGCTCAGCAATGACCTTCTGGTCTACCTTGAGGAAGCAATAACCCACTATCTGTTACCCTCAAGTGCTGGTGACTGTGTGAGCATGCTCCAGCTCCTGACTTCAAGATTTTAGCCTGTCAGCATTTTGGATGGGGTCATTCCCTGCCGTATAGGGAGCTGGCTTCTGCATTCATTTCAGGATGTCAGCAATGCCCCTGGCCATTGGCCACTAGATGCCTGAAGCAGCCCTCTCCCCTGTGTGACAACCAAAATTGTCTTCAGAACTTACTGGGTGTCTCTAGTTCTAGACTGAGCCTCCTCGGTCTTCAAACAGTAGTCTGATTTTTAGTTATTTCCAGGTAAGAGAGTTGAGGTTATTCATCATATTTTTTCTTGACCTGGCTTCTTGTCACTAATTCTATTTTATATTCTACCTAATTCTTTATTATTTACAATTGAGGATTGCAACCTCCCTCTGAAGTGAGCAGAGATTTTTCTTGATTTGTTTGTTTGGGATAATGTACTTCTTCTGTATATTTTTTGAAGTAACTCAAGGGGAGAAAAACAGTAGCATTGAAAAAAAAAAAAGTTGTGGTTTGTTTATTTATTTATTTATTTTTGTTTCTTACAAATCTAACAACCTGCAGTGGGAGCTCAAGGACCAAAAAGAATGAATTCTGTTTTCCCTGCTGCCCTCTGGTGGCCAGTTGTGGGAGGGCAGGAGGCCAGCAAGGACTGGGACCCCAACTGTGATGCTTTGTTACCCAGGTCCTGTCCAGCTGTTCTGCTGTATAGGCTCTCAGGACCAGAATCAACCAAACATGCTCCAAAGATAATGCTGAAGAAGGTTCTAGAACCACAGACAGACTCAGAGTAGGAAGAGCTTAGGATTGAGTTAGAGACTTGAGTTCGATCATGGCCCTGATTTCTGTGTTAAATTTCATTATTGGCAAAATAGGGGTAAGCATGCTTCCATCAGAACAGATGTGACTGTGACAGAACAGGGACACTGAGAGCACTGTGCACTGGAGAGCAGAGCTAGCACCTTCCCCCTCTCCAGGGAACGAGGTGGCTGGACAGAGCAGGCCCGAGGATGGGGCACCCTTGAGACCCTTGTATTAAAGTGTGGCCAACACTCTTGGTGTCCAGTCCCCAAGGAGGCATGAGTTCTGGGGCCTGCTGGCGATTCAGTCGGGTGCTCAGCACACTGTGTAGTGTCGCCGACCTCCTCATCCATGGCAAGACTCTGGGTGAAAGCAGCATCTTGATCTACTCTTTGGGGAGTCTTACGTTTTATTGGGGGGTCAGGAGCAAAGTTAGTAGCATGCCACTTAGCAGCGCCTCGCTGCGGGTGCTGGTTTCCATTCAGCAGTGTTTTTAACCTTGCGCTTTTCTACCTTTTGTTTTTTTTCCACCTCTGGGCAGACTGCTCCGCCAACAACCCAGCACAGGCGAAGCTGCGACAGGAGCTGAACGACTCCCTCCAGGTGGCTGAGCTGTTGACCCAGAAGTACAACGAGCTGCTCCAGTCCTACCAGCGCAAGATGTTCAGCACCTCATCCCTGCTGAACCAGCTGAACGACCAGTTTAGCTGGGTGTCCCGGCTGGCTAACCTCACCCAGGGCGACGACCAGGCCTATCTCCATGTCTCCACGGTGAGTGCTGTGTGTCCCGGCCAAGATGGAGGGGACCTGAGGCTCCCAGGGTGAGATGCGCTGCAGGTGTTACAGAGGGGCACTTCTGCTTTTGATGGGGCACTAACCATAAGGCAGGAAATACAAAGGCCATGTGCAGACTATTGCATTGAGGTAAAATACCACCCGTGGAGGTAAAATACCACGCGCCCGTTTCCCGGATGAGGAAGTGAGGGATGCCACAGCTCTCCATGACTGAGAACTGCGAGTGATCTCTGGGTCACTAGAACTGCCTGGCTACCTGGACTCTTCCTTTATCTACCTTACTGCTCTGGGCCACAGAATGGTCACGGCTTGGTGGCACATCAGTCTCTGTAGGCAGAACATCATCTCCTAGTCCTGGGAACCACTTTCCTCCTTGATTCCTTTTCAACCCCAGCCTGGCCAACAATCGCACAAAGGAAACATTTGCAAACCACTTTCACTCTCTGGGTGCCCCGGTGCTAGTCATTTGAGGATAGGATCTGTCCCTTTGAACAGGTGGTGTCTGACTCAAAGCATCTCCACTGCGAGTCTAAATCAGTGCCGAGCCAGGAGTCAGCTGTCCCTGTCTTGCCAGAGGGGCCGGGCACTTCCATGCTGTTGGCTATGGTGGCAGACTGCTCCCCCATGACTGTGACACCATATGGCTTCTCCTCTCCCGTCTAGGTGTCGACCCACAATTCTGACTCGGACACCCCATCTGGAGCCACTGAGGTGGTTGTGAAGCTCTTTGACTCCGATCCCATCACGGTGATCATGCCGGAAGAGGTCTCCAGGGACAACCCGAAATTTATGGACACCGTGGCCGAGAAAGCACTGCAGGAATACCGCAAGAAGAATCGGTAAGTGGGGGTCTGTCCTGTGGCACCCCCCCAGGGCCCAGCAGCCCCTGGGGCTTAGACAAGGGACAGGGGACATAGCATGGGCAGAAGAAGCCCTGTATCTCCGGCTGGAACCCAAAGGGGAGCCAGAAAACCACCGGGAATTTTGTTTTTCTTCCTTAGCTGATAAGAATCTAGGTGTTGACCACTTTTGCTGACCGTTGACCTCCTTCTCCCCACCTTTTGTTTTTCAGAGAGGAGTGAGATGTGAGCATCGCTTTGCACATATGGGGGTGTCCGAGCAGCTCCCCCCAGATGAGCCACAGCCCCTCAGAGAGAGCTCTGCATGTCCCCCCTCCCCGCCTCTCTCCTCTGGATTCTCACACTAATGCCCGTGTTTGCTGCCTGTGGGAAGATTTGCTTCCCCATGCAACTAATCCAATAAAAAACTGCCTTGAGCTGAGTGTCCAATTCCTCCAGTCCGGCTGTTTTTCTCCTTCCTGTCTGCCTCATTTTGGTATGGAGGGGAAACAACTACACAGAAACAGAAACAAAGAAATTAGTGGCCAACATGCTACAGAGATCACCATAGAATGGCAAATAAAAGGGACCTATCTGCTGATAGAGGTGGCCCAATTCAAGAATTTCTCGCTTTTAGGAAGAGAGGTGTGTTCCCACAGGCCAACCAGAGCAAATTCCTGCAGTGTGAATCTTTCTCATTCCATTCTGAAATTCTCTAAGTACCTGGACAGGGTGAGGGCTATGTCCTGAGGCATCCATTGGTGATGAAGGCAAAAAAGAAGTAATAATAAGACTTCCTAGATATGCTAACATTTAATTAATGCTATTATGGAAATTGTAGCCTCCAAAAGATCAACTGAGGCAGTTTTCATTTGTAAGAGTTTGGAATCTCCAGGCCCTTGCCTAGTTGTAGATTTCTCTGTCCACTGACCCTCCATCCCATCGTCCTGTCTTCCTGGACCACTGGCACTCCTCTCCAGGTGGCTCTGGGTGAGTGGTTCAACATAGTGGAACTGCAGTACCTGATGTTGCCAGCAGGTGGTCTCAGCTCAACACGATGCAACTCAGTCCAAAGGCTTAAGCTTGTTGCTAATATTAATGTTCTCTAAATACAGACTGCTGACTCTCACATACTGTAAGTGGGAAAAAACCTGGATTCGTCACAGTTCGTAGCAAAGTCCACTCGCCTATTCATGGCTTTGAATGTTCGTAGGTCACTGCCCCTTCTCTCTAAGATAACATCTTGGCCACTTGGGAATCAAACTTGTAAGCCCAGCTCACACCCAGACTGAATACTTAGGATTGTTAACCAGGGGCATAAGAGTAAAGGCAGTGAGATTCACTTAATGGTGTAGAATAGTTAGGGTTATGAGATCAGAGGGGATTTAAGTAGTTGTTAATTGTAAATACTAATTAAAGTCATAGCATGATTGACATTTAAAATTCATCACATTTTATTAGTATATATTTGCAATAGTAGTGATCATATTCGTCTTGAGGAATTGGTACATACTGCATCTTGACCACTTTTACCCTCGCCCCACCGGTCCTATTTCCACAGAGCCAACCTCTCTGTTTCCGACCATCTCTTTATTTTTTTAAAAAATTTTATTTTAAAGAGGAAAGAAACACAACAAAACAGAACATAACAAAGCTATATAAGAGACATAGATTTCAAAGCAAGGCAACCTGGCATCTTCACTGTCTATCATATTGTCTCTTGTTTTCTTCCAAATAGTTGTCCGTGTCTTCACATCAATGAATTCATACAAAACAGCATAGTATAAAACTGATCCAAACAGGATGATGAAGGCATTTTAGGTCTTCAGGACCAGACAATAAGGAAGTCACTAATGGCTGTCATAGTATTTCTCATTCTCTTCAAAATAGCTGTCCATATCTTCATGTGTGTTGAAATTAAAACAAATCAGGCTAAAATCACTCTGAACAAAGAATAATAGTACTGCTGGATTTTACCTCATGATGCTACGGAATCACTGAGTACCCTGGTGTGTCTTTTCCTTCAGAGTAGCTGTTCATTTTATCCTGTGTTATATAATCAGTTCTCATAAAGTGTTTATAGGTGCTACGCATGCATGAGTCACTACATGTATACCTATCCTTTCTGTATTAGAGGGAAAAGCAAAACAAAACAAAGCAAGACAAAACAAATTCCTAGAAAAACATGAAATGAAAAAGTCATATAAAACCACAGTACAAGGTGATCTACAATGGTTACTATGATGTCTCTTGTTTTCTTCAATAGAATTGTCTATATCATTAGGCATAGTATAATTGAATATAGCAGTATATAACGATATTAATAAACAAAACATTGGAGACATTTTAAGACCTCAAAAGCAGGTAATAGTCAAACCAGAGTGGGTATCCTAGTGAATCTTGTCATCCTCAGTATAGTTGCCTATACTCTCAGACTTGATAGTATCAATCATAACAGATTCGAATAAAATCAGTCAGTATAAAACAGCAATCTAATAAACCAGATTCAAATAAGATCAGTCATAATAAGACAATGTAAGTGTACAGGGCTTTAGTTTAAGTTAATAGGAAATTAAGGATGGTTACCATTATATGTCTGTGCCCTCAAATCTAGTACAAGTATACAAACTGAAACAGAATATAGTCCATCTAAACAGAGTGGTGACAATAATGTGGATTTTAAATCCTGATACACTAGTAACAATGTCCTCTGCCTTCCCTTTTTAGACAGTTCTTCTCCTTTCACAGGGTGCTTTGTACATTTTGGTCCCACTAGCTCCTTTAGTTTTTAGATTGGAGGGAGCACCCTGCTATTTCCCTAAGTGGTTCTGAACTTCTTTACTCCTGGGCTTGATCTTAAGTTGTATCCATTTACCTACAAAAGCCTCCAGGTTTTCCTTCATTATAGCTGGGTAGTTCTCTACTGCACAAAAGTGTCACGTCTTTCCATCTGCAGCTGCTGGACGAGCTGCCCTATTTCTCTCTGGTCCTCTGTCACATATAGCATTGTTTTCTCGTATTTGACTTTTGGTCCATAAACCCTCTTTCAGGTTGATTATATTTTCTATACAGAGCATCTCTATGGACTCTGTCTCCTGATTTACTCTGCCTGTATTTCTTTTTGTTAATGTATCAAGGCCATCTATGTTAGAGATTATAGCCAACCTTCTCTGCCTCATTTCTGCTATGCTATTTTTCTGCCATTGGGTGTGTACTTTTCTCCTTCATCCCACTGTCTGCCTTGTTCATTGAGGCCTCTCTGCCACTGTTCCTGAAATCCTGGTGGTTTTTTCTCTCTCTCTAGAATGTCCTTCAGTATTTTTGGTAGGGTTGAATTGGTGGTCACAGTTCTTCTTTGTCATGGAGGTATCTTGTTTCTTCATTAATTTTGAGAGAGAGTTTTTCAGGGTACATCAATCTGGGTTGGAGGTTATTTTATTTCAGGGCTTGGAATACTCCATTCCAAGCTCTTCTTGATTTGATGGTTTGTGTCAAGAAATCTGTCATGAGTTTGATGGGTTTTCCTTTATAGGTGATCTGTTTCTTTTTTCTGATGGCCTTTAATATTCTGTTCTTGTGATGAATTTCTGGGACCTTGATTATTTATGTCTGATGTAGATCTGTTTTGGTTGTAGGTGGGTAGAGTTCTGTATGCCTCATACATCTGAATATCATTTTCTTTTCCTATGCTTGGGAAGTTTTCCTTAATTATTTCTGTGAATAGTCTTGTATTTCTTTTGTGTTTACCCCTGCTTCTTCACTCACATCTTTTATCTTAAGTTATAGATCCTCTTGTCATCTTCTAGCCTTTGTATTGTTTCTGCCTGTTGCCTTGTTATTTTTAAGAGATCTTTCCTTTTGCAATCACACATTGCAAACCTATCTTCAAGTTTTGTTAATCTATCTCTAGTTCCTTTCAGGCAATTTTTCCAGCTTTCAATGGAGTTTTTAATTTCCTGGTAATCTCTTTGAGTCTGTTTCATGTATTCTAGGTTTTTTAAAATAGTCTTTATCATATGTTTCTCTCTTTTTTTTGTGTTCCTCCATTCTTCCCTCTGTCTTTTTTAAAATTTTTAAATTTTATTTTAAAGAGATTAAGACAAAAGAGGACAGAACAAAGCAGATCAAAACAGAACAATGTAAGCAACACAGCACTTCATCACAAGACAACTGGATATTAACAGTAACTACCATAATGTCTCTTTCTTTGAAATAGTTGAGCATACCTTCACATACAATAGTATCAAACATAACAAAATAGCATAAAACCATCCAAGAGAATGAAAGTATTACAGGGCATTCAGAACCAAACAACAGAAAATGAACAATGGCTACTCATTTTCCATAAAAAATTTTGTTTATACTATCACACATATTAAAATCCAGTAAGACACAACATGATAGAACAAATAGAAATAGAAGAACAAAAAACATGGTAGGACTTCAAAGCAAGATGACATTAAATCAGCAATGGCTGCCATAATGTCTTGTTTTCTTCAAAATAGCTGTTCATACCATCACACATAATAAAATCAAACAAAGCAGAATAAAACCATTCCAACTAATGAACGAAAATGTAAGGCTTCAAAGCAATGTAATGGAGAATCATGATTACCATAAAACCTTATGTACTCTTACCATTTCTTACATTAGGAAGACTATATGATATTTATACATGTGAGTTTAATTTATTTTGCTTTGAGTATGGTCTCAAGTTGCATGCATTTATTTATAAATATCTCAATGTGGTCATTGTTTATAGCTGAGTAGTACTCCATTGTATAAAAATACCACAACTTTTTTTATCCATTCATTGGTTGATGGACACTTAGGTTGTTTCAACCATCTGTGTCTTCTTGAGAGATGCTTGGCATTTCTTTTATTAATCTTCTTACATCTGCTTTACTTGTGTTAATATTTCAGTTTTGAGTTTGTCTATAATGTCATGAAGATATTTCTTTATGTCAGCTGATGCCGTGTCCAATATTGCATGTTTGCAGCCCTCAATCTCTTCTGTATTTATCTCTCCTGGACCAATATTCCCTGGGTTGGGGCTGAAGTCTTTTTCTTATTTCTTTCTCTTGTCATGTTTTTGGTTTCTTCCATTCAGGTGTATGGTAGAGGTCCCAGCCTCCAGCCCCTTTCTGTACTGGTTACAGTTCTTCTGAAGCATGCTGTCTAGGGATTTCTGCCCTCTCCAGTTTGCTGTTGGTCACTGAGGTGCAAGCAGGGGCAGTGTAGCCTAGCCCCTCCCCTCTGAGCGAGTCAATCGTGGGGGTCTTCACCATGGTAGTGTGTGCCACGTGGAGGAACCAGTTTTGGACAACTTCAGGGACAATTCGCCCTTGGCTACCGGGTTCCAGCCAAAGGTGATCCAGCGCAAGCAGATCCTACCAATCTGCTCTGGGCAGGGAGCAGCCAACTGAAGTCACTGCTGTTCCTTGTTCAAGCCCGTCCTGCCCGATTCCAATATGATGTCAGTGGGTCACCTCTTTTCCATGAGAAGGTCAAATTCCAAGCACTCACCGCGCGGGGGTTAGTGCAGGCCTCCACGCCGGCTCTGTTCTCCATTGGGCTCACTGACCCCTGACTTCAGCACAGCTGTGGCTCTGGTGGTGAGCGCATGTGACCTCGAGTCTGACCGGCTCGATGGGAGGGTCGAGATCTCGAGTTTGACCAGCTCCTTTCCCTTTGGGTTCTTCTTGGATTAAGAGGATTCATCTCCCTCCATCTGGTTTTCTCCAGGATGTTTTATTCCAGCATCTGAGCTGTTTCTCTCAGGGAGGCTCCGTAATTTGCTGCTTACTGATCCACCATCTTTAGCTCTGATCCACCATCAGAGCTAATACTGATCCACCATCTTTAGCTCTGCCCACGATCATAGCTTTTTATGACTCATTGTTTTCAGGAACTCCTTCCTATTTCTGACATGATGCACTTATCATGTTTGCTTTTCTCTAAGATGATGGAATTTAACAGAGCTGAATAAAACTCAACACTCAAGTTAGGAAGACTGAAGAATTCCAGCAGTCAACAACATACCTTAAGTAAATGGTAAGCTTTCAACAGAAAATTACTAGTTATATGAAAACGTGGAAAAGTGGTCAGTAGAAATAGACTCAAAAGTCCATCTCTTTATTTTGCTTTATGAATTATTTATTCCTGGGATCCCTCATATTAGAGTAAACCATGCATTAGTTAATAGTTGAGTTATGACCTCAAGATCCTTTTTCATTATAGGGTTGTTGGGCTTGGCAGCCACTGTTACAGATTTTATTTTAGTGTGCCCACTTTAAATTCCTATATTCCAGCATCTCAAAAGGCAGAGTCCTAGCATAGAACTCTGAGGTTCCCTGGGACCCTTCCTGTCCACCTTCATTGTCCCTCTGTGCAGTGACCCTCCATCCCAACAGAAGTTCCAGCTCGAGGCACTAGGAAGTGACAGGGCACCAGGGCACTGGGCTAAGAGGTAGCTCAATCCAGGTGGGGGCCATGGAATCAGCCCTCAGTTGCTGGCTGCCAGGATTCTTGGAACAAAGTAGGAGCAGCGCTTGACAATTGGGAAAGAGGGAGGCCTGGGAGCAGGGTGGACCAGCCCTGCTGTAAACCCCTGTGTTGACACTTGACTGTCATCTGCCAGGATACTGTCATCAGATGCAATCTTGGATGATGCCGAGGAAGTGTGTGCTGGTCACCCAAAGTGCCGACACTGGGCCACTGGCTTCATGAAATCCCATTATACTCTTGCAATTACCCTCAAGGCATTTCCCACACTGCAAGGGAAAAACCTGCATCAGAGGCCAGGGTGGGGTGACACCCCACCCCAGTTCCTCCAGATCCATGGAGGCTGGTACAGGGACCTCAGAATCGCCTGTCCCTCACTGTGAAGAAGCAGGGAGCAGGGGAAGGGGGTGCTGGGAGCTCCCCTCATGTGCAGAGCCCTGCTAACATGGCAGTGTTGGATGACAGAGGGGCCAGAACCTGAGGGGCGGGAGAAGGGCTCTGTTTTGGAGGTGACACTGAACTCCAGAACCAAATGGACTGTGCTATTGGCTGGAATACGGAGGGACCCCGAAAGCCACTGTGAGTGAAGCTGCAGGAGTGACAAAGACAACTGACTTGCAGCGAGTGAGTGAACCCAGTCCTGTCTTGGGGGCCAAAGGGGAGCTCCCTGCTGTCATTTAGCTGCCTGGGACTTTCCACATCAGGGTCCTACACACTGCCAGGTATTTTCCAGTTGCAACAGAAGAGCCCAGCAGAGCCAGGATGTATAAAATAGCTCAAAGAGGACCAGGTCTTCAGAGTTCAGGAACGGAAGGGGTGATTGGCAGATCCCAGGGCGGTAGCCCCGAAAGTCGGGCTGTGGACGTGGAGCCCACGCACAGGGTTAATCATGGGTGCTCTGTGTGCCGCCTGGCTCTGCTCACAGGCCAATCTGGGATCCAAGTCCTCTGCTATACAATGCCAGAACTGTCTGTGTCCCTGTACCCACTGCTCTGCTCAGTCACTGAAGGGCCAGCAGTGGCCTCTGGCCACCTCTGCTCCACCCCAAGGCTGCAGGGCTTCAGTCAGCTATAGATCTTTCCACGGTGTAGTCCTGCGATCTGCCTGCTCTTGGTCGAGTGACCACCAGGGAGACAAAGACTGTGGCCTTCAGCCAGTGCCAGACATTGCCTCATGGCCTCCTCTTCACCCCAGCCCTTGAAGCACTCAATCCGGTGTGCGCTCCGAGGCACTTGTGAGGGTAGAGTGACAGGCTGGCCACTTACTCCAGCTGCACATTCAGAAGCATCTTTGCCAATGATGTCACCTATATGCAGCCACAGTGGTGATACGCAGACACCAGCAATGGCACACACTTGTGTCACAGGGCCCACATCTGTGTCCTGTCACCAGCTCACATCCCTGGGGGACACGAGAGACCAGTTTCAGAAGAGGGACACTGCAGTTGGCTTGAACCCAGCACTGTAGTGCCTAAGTCTGGGTGGGCAAAGGCAGCCTTTGTGTGTAAAGGGGCATCAGAAATAGAAAACCAGCGAAACTTTCCTCTTTGGAAGTGTCAGGGTCTCTCTTGACTTCTGAAAGGCCCTGCCCTGTGCAGAAGCAGGTGCTGCCTGGTTTAGCCCATGGGTCCCACTCCTGTATCTTAGAACTGGGGTGCTCAGCAATTCCTCAGGCTTCCACCCTCTCTTCTTCACCCCGAGCCTGCCTTGGGCTTTATTTTAGTACCCAGAGATCCTGGGTTGACCCTGCCTCCCAGGATTTGGGGACGTTCTGCATAAATTTGAAACCAACTGTGGCATGGAGAATGCTTCTCAGCAGACCCTGGTGCTGCCCGCAGGTTTCTCCCTTCTGTCCTTGTTCCTGTCTGTCCCCTTCCTGCCTGGGACTGGCTGACTGTGTATGATTCAGGCCAGAGCTGGAGCTCAGTCTCCTCTCCTGTGTTCTATGGCTGGGCTCAGATAAATGCCACCAGGGCACCTTTGACAATGGCCACCACGGAGTGACCACAGCAGGATTCCTTCTGCTGAGCCATGTCCTAACTCACGGTGGGCTTCGAGCCTGTGCCCAGGAAGCTGCCTTGCCCTTTGGGACCTCAGGGTCACTAGCCCTCACCTAAAATCTGAAGATCAAAACGTCACAGCCTCAGTGCTCACCTGGGTCCCTCTGTCTTGCTGTGCACCTGAGGGATACAGCGATACGGTGGTTACCTGGCGGGGAGAGCTGCTCACAATCAGTGCAAGTTGCTCATTTCCTTGTGACTGGAGGCCTCTCCCCCTAATCCAACTTCAAGAGCTGCTGTGGCTCCACAGCTCTGATTCTGCATTAGTTTAGTCTCACGCTGGTCAGGGTGGCACTGACCTCAGTCTTTTGCCCTTTCTCAACTTCTCGGAGGCTGCTGGCATTTCCTGGCCACCAGCAAAAGTCAGGCATGGAGGCCCAGCTCCCAACCTCAATGCTCAGTCATTTCCTGAGATGAGCATGTTTGTCAGCAGGTGACAGAGCTGGTCCAAGGCACTTTAGGCTCAGCAGAAGATAGGGGGACGCTGGCCTGAAGTGACAGCAAAAGCAGCAGGACGAAGCCAGGAAGGAGAGAGAAACGGGACAGAACAGCGGTGCCCTTAGGACTCCACCTTACAGGCTCGGGCTGCACCACTTGGTGACAAAGGGACTCTGCATGGAGAACTCTGCAAAGGTGACCTCTGGACATCAGAGAAGACGCCAGGTCAAAGAAAGGACAGGTTGTGCTCAGCATCCCAGTGCTATCCTCTTGAAATTCTTATTAATTTTGGGTCACTGCACTTTCCATTGGCATTGCCCCCTGGACTCCCTCAGCTTCTCGTGCTGCAGAGGTGGCCTTGTTCTCAGGGCTCTGCTCTCATGGCCATGGACTTGGGTCCACTCATGGAGGCCCCTCTGAGGATGTGCAGCCCATGCAATGACAGTCACCCCGCTTCCCTGACCCCACACTGCATTTTCCCTTATGCTGTCTAACATCCTATGCATATTTTGTTTCTTTGAATGAGAATGAAATTTTCATTATTTTTATCAGGGTTAAAAACACAGACTATACAATTTACCACTTTAATCGTCATAAAGGGTATGATTCAGTGACACAAAGGACTTTCACATTGTTGTACAGCCGTTGTCACCACCCATTTGCAGAACTTTTTCTTCTTCTCAGCTCAAACTCTGCATCCATTAACACTAACTTCTAGCACTTACAACTCCTGCTCACGAGAACCCCCGTTCTACTGTCTTCATGAATCTGACTGCTCCAGGCACCTCATTTAAATGCAATCATAGGATATTTGTTCTTTTATGAATAGCTTCTTTTACTTCATCCAGTATTGAAAGAATTTATCCATTTTGTGGAATGTGTCCAAATTCTCTTCTTTTCTAAGGCTAATATTCCATTGCATGTACAGACCACATTTTGGCTACTATGAAGAACGCAGCTATGAACATGTGCATGGACATATCTCTAATGTGCTGCCCCTGCTTTGGGGAACAGGCCATTCCCGCAGCAGTCAGAGCATTTTGCATTCTCACCAGCAATGCTCAGTTGTTCCAGTCTCTCCACATCCTCACCAACACTTGCTATTTTCTACTTTTGAACTTTTTGCCATTCCTACTGATCCTAATGAGTGCGAAGTGGGATCTCGTGGCTTTTTTGCATTTCCTTAACAAATAGTGGTGCTGATCATCTTTTCCAATATTTACTGGTGGTTAGTATATCTCGAAGATATTTGTAATCCTATGAGTTACAATTAGAATAAAAATTTCTTGAGGGCAGAAAGATAGCTTAAGGATCTTTTAATGCCCTCACAACACTTGATGCATAGCAGATCTTTGAGGAATGTTGAACGCAGTCAGAGGCAAGCTGAAACTAAATTTATAAAGGACCGTGAAGAACATTTTCCAAGAGGGAAGTAGGCAGTCTTCACACCCAAAGCATTGCTCTGGAGGTGGCAGGGTCGGGGGAGGCACACCGGAAGTGAAGCGAGGGTCACCAGAGGTGAGATAAGGGTCACTGGAAGTGAGGTGAGCCTCTTACTTTGGGTTTTTATTGAGAAGAGTGGAGGAGTGATGTGTCCTGAGGTGGCGGCAAAGGCCAGACGGTGGCTTGTTTTACTTAGTTGGTGCCCCTACTTTCCTGACCTTGCACTACATTAGAGTGGGTACCCCTGGGCAGTGGGCACCCACAGAGCATGTGAAGATCCTCGTCATGAAAGACAGCAGGCAGGGTCTGTTGGGAGCCGCGGCCGACACCGGTCACTTTACTTGGCGGACGTGAGGCCTGTAGAAAAGAGCAAAGCCTGAGCTAAGTTACCCCTCCCATCGAGTGAGCCAAGTTGGCGCCTGCTTCCTGCCCCCTGATTGCCCTGGCGACTTAAACAACCCGCTCTGTAAGATAGTCTGCCTAGCAACAACTGATGTTAGCCAGTCAGCCCGCATCGCGCGCTTTGAACTGATTGGCCACTGTTACCCTATAAAAGTGAATGCCTCTCCCGCCACGAGGAGGAAGCACAGAGAGAGATAGAGAAAGTCCACCGGCGAGAAAGGGCTGGTGGCAGAGCGGAGGCCTCGCGGGGCCCACGCGGAGACAAATAAAGGCAAGATTGCACACCGTCAGAATCTGTCGCATGTTCTTCCTGCAGGCCGGGAGCGACACCGACAAGGGTCCACACCCCTGCTGTGCCCAAGCACCTCCAAGGGCCGTGTCTGGAGAGGACTAAAGAGAGAACCCTGGAAGTCGCGCTGCAACCCTGGAAGTCGAGGACATTCCCTTGTCAATGGGCTGAACCTGTGAGTTTCAGGGCTCCTGACCTGTGAGATCCACAGCATGGCTTTAGGGCTCCCTTTTCTCCTGAGAAACTGGGTGTGGTGACTGGAGGTGCAGGGAAGGGAGGGGACGACATGGGGACACCACAGAGGAATGGGTGCTGTGAGGACAAGGAGGGGAGGACAGGCCCTGATCCAGCCCAGCTCATGCCATGGAGTTGAGAGGGGGTGTTGCCTCCTGGGCCTCCACCCTCAGGGAGGCGGGCCCTGCTCCTGGGCCCTCCTGTCTCAGTAGAACACTTTCTCCAGGTAGGAATTTAGGAACATTCCAGTGAGGTTCAGCTTTTCACGGATGGTGCAAAACGTGGGAAAGGCAGAGTACATTTTCTCAAAGTCCTTCCAGGTGCAGTTGTGGGCTTGCAGAAATAACCAGAGGCCATGGGTCCCGGTCCCACCACCTTGGAGCATCCTCACTTTCATGTCTGCTAAATGGGCTCACAGATGCCAGCTTGTCCCGCTCATGGGCTTCCTGAGAGAGTCAGTGAAGGGAAAGGTGACACATTACTCTGAACACAGGGGCCTGGCAGTCATCTGGAACTGTGGACATCGAGGTGAAGGGTGAGGAAGTGGGTCTGGGAGTGGGAAGCAAGCCCAGCCTTCCCTGGCATGCCAGCAGCTGCCCGCAGCCCTACCTTGGCCCAATGGGGTCTTCCCTGGAACTTCTTCATGATGGTCTCACAGGTTAGCCAGTAGTTAAGCTGAGGCACGTCCTTGCCGTAGGGCCTGGGCACAGGGGAGAGAGGAAGAGGTGAGCCTTCCCCAGCCCGTATCTGCCCACCATGGGTGATAACAGCCCAGCACCCAGCCTGGGAGTGGGAAATCAAGGCCAGCTCTGCCTCGGGACACGGACAGCAGCCAGCCGGCATCCCCATGGCTCCTGCTCATTCCCAAGGGGTTCTGAAAAGCCTGTGAGCCCTCGGCTATTGTTCAGTGAGTGTCCGTAAGTTGCCATGAGCTTAAATAATCTTGTCAAGGACTGCGAGGAAGAGTGTGGGCCTGGACAGAGCTGAGCCGAATGGTCCTGTGGCCTGGGGTCACCCTGGGCCTTCCTGTGTCATGGTGCTTGGGTGCACAGACACCAGCCACTGTCCCTGCTGCCTGAAGTAGTGACTGCTGTGCAGTGTGCAGTAGCTGGACTGCCCAGTGTGCGTGGGGACCCCAAGCCTTCCCGCTGAGGATGTGGCACCTCTATTACTGGGTTTGGGTTGGTCCTTCTGCCCAGCCAATGAGGTCTGACCTCTCTCTCTCTCTCTCTCTCTCTCTCTCTCTCTCTCTCTCTCTCTGTTCTCCTTCTTTCTTTCTTTCCCTTTTCTTTCTATCTTGTACTGAAGATCGAACACAGGGACCTTTGCCTTTGTACTGAGCTATACCCCCAGTTCTTTTTACTTATATGCTGTTTACTTGGTGGCAGGGCCTTGCTAAGTTGGCCAGGCTGGCCTTGAACTCACAATCCTCCTGCCTCTGCCTCTCAGAGTGCAGGGATATGGGCCTGGCCAGCACGCCCAGTACTGCTGACTTCATTTTTGAAAACCTGTAGGAGCACGTTAAGATGCATCCCTGGCAATATTCTCATTTCTGATTTTGAGGGCACAGATAGGGAGAAGATGGACAGACACACAGACAGACAGATGGGTGAGTTTGTCCCTCCAGGAACCCGCTGCTGTTCCTGCAGTGAGTCTCCAGGAAGCCCTCTTTCAGGCTCTTGGGACCTCCACTCAGCAGCAGCGCATTCCCAGCCATGTGGTGCCCTGCAAGCTGTGGGAAGCACCCCGGCAAGATTCAGGGAAGGCAGGGGGTGCTTTCTTTAAGTCAGAGAGGGCTGCGATGGATGGTGAGGAAGGGGAGGCCGCAGCAGCGTGGAGTTTCAGGAAATGTGAACTTGACCCCCAGGCACAGGAGCGCCGTCCTGCAGCCTGCTGGTGCCCCAGAGAAGGTACTGCAGCCCTGGCGGGGCCTGGTGGGGCCATCAGCATGGACAAAGGCACCCAGCAGGCCCCTGGCCTGGGGCAGGAGACCCTCTCCTGCTGAATGCACACCATCCTCGGAACCCTTGCCAGCCCCAGTGGGCGATTGGCATGGACACGACTTCTCAAATATCAAATATCTGTGTCATCCAAATATCTGCTCCCTGAGTAGTAGCTATTCCTAATGAATAAAGTCATAAGTAATATTGATTAGCATAGCATAGACCAGACCTGGGGTATGTTGTGAGTCTATGGAGTGGAATCACTGATGAGTATGGTAGTGTCCACCTAGGATCCCAGCACTCTGGGAGGCTGAGGCAGGAGGATCGTAAGTTTGAACCCCTCCTGGGTGACTTAGTGAGACCCTGTCCTAGAAAGGCTCAGTGCGATGCCTTGGGTCCAATCCCCAGTGCTGCTGAGAGAGAGGAAGGGAGAGAGACTGGTCTCCTGCTGCCAGGACCAGCAAGTCGCTGGAGATAGTGGCATCAGAGATGGGAGGGGGAGCCTCCTAAATCCCATGGAGCAGCCTGTCACCTGTATATGCAGATGTTCATGTAGCAGCTGTCCCTCTGGAAGGAGGGGCTCAGCAGGATGTCGTCCCCCCGGGTGAAGCGCACCCCCACAGGGTAGTGGGCTGCCACCTTGGGGTGAGCTTCCAGCATGCTCTTCAGCTCCAGCAGGGCCTCCTTGGTCTTCTCTCTGCACTCAGGGCAGGGGATGCCATCTGGACCTCAGGGCAGGAAGGGATGCCGGCACCCTCCCCACAGCTCTCCGGGTTGCCCCTGAAGGGCCCTACCTGGGGATGGCCCAGTCCTGGACGTGCTGCTTGAAGCGGCACTCATAGCTGAAGATCTTGTGGCTGAAGTCACAGTTCTCCTTCTTGCAGTTGAACAGCAGCCAGAAGAAGAAGCAATTGATCCAACCCATGAGGCACGGCAGGAAGGTGCTGCAGGACAGGGAGAGGAGGGATAGGGGAGTGGCCGTCATGACACCTGGCATGGATCATGCCATCATGAGCCAGCTTCGCCCAGGGGCAGCGATGAGCTCTTTCTGAGCCAGAGCCTTACTCTCCACACAAGGGTGCCTTTGTTGCTTATCTAGAGCTTGGAAATCTCTCCTGCTGTAGAGGTGTCAGAGTCACTGATGTCAGAGGCACTGCAGGCTTTATTCTGACATATTCACCCATTAGCGGCCACCTGCATTGCTTTCCTGTCACCTCATGCCACACTGTAACATGTCCTCTTCCTAGAATCCTCCCAGCTTGCTGGAGACAAGGACAATGGGTTCTAATGTTAGCAGAGGAGTTTCTCGGAAGGTTGTGGTAGTCATCCACCTGAGCTCTGGGTTCCTAGATTGCTATAAGGATTAGGTGCCAGTGGGAGCCAATACACCAGCATGGGGTCATTTTCCTGAGTTCTTGTCCCCCAAATTGAGGCCAACGTTGCCCAGGTCACTACAGAGGGAGGGCTCTGTCATTCTGGGGCCAGGCAGGAACTAACCTAACCCTAACCTGGCTTTTGCTTTAGGAAATACATTTACACCACAGTCTGTGAAATCTTTACACTCTCTCTCTCTCTCTCTCTCTCTCTCTCTCTCTCTCTCTCTCTCACACACACACACACACACACACACACACACACACACACACGTTCCTTTTTCCTAGTTCTGCAGGAACTGATCACCCACTCTGGACACACTGGCAAGCGGGGCCTAGAGCTAGGAGGTGCGGGGGCCCCAGAGAAGAAGGCACCACATGAGCTGAGCTCAGAGGCTCTGGAGTCTCCTGGTGCTTCTTGGCTGTGGGTCTGGATATGGTGGCTGGGATTTAGAGCCTGGGATTAGGCTCTAAAGCATATATTTGAAGCCGTCCTGCTGCAGAGATTGAGGCTGAGCTGCAGAGAAACACAGGCTGCCCTCCGAATGCCTCATCCAGGAGAGCTGTGGCCGTCACATAGGGTGCATCAGCAAACTCAGGGTGCTGCTCCTTGGCCCTTTCCCATCCAGATCTGAGGAATCTCTTGCTGCATTTCAGTTCCTGACACCTCCATGGTTTGGTGACTGGCCCTGCATGGGTCCCCTGATGCTACCTGTAGCCCCCCTATCCTGCGCACAGGCCCATCTGCCAAACTGCCCCAATTCCTTGATGCAGACCTGACCTGGGATTCAGAACCACTACGAATGCAGCATCTATAACAGGCTGTCTGACCTGCCTGGGAGAAAGCATCACAGCCCATCCCAGTGAGGCCTGGGAACCCATCCCAGTGGCTCATCCTTGCATTCAGCTGCAATTCAAGGATGGGTGTCAGCCTCTGGGGATGTCACAAAAACTATAAGGAGTCACACACATGGAGCACTGGGCAGGGTGCCTGGAACATAATAAGTGCTCAAAAAACTACAGCCTTTGTGGGCTGAACGCAGCTGCTACCCACTCAGACAGGCGCAGGGGAACGAATGGGCGTCTGCACCTGCACCAGTGCGGGTGGGTGACCAGGGAAGGAGGCAGTGTTCTCACCCATCAGCCTCAGACTCTTCTTCAGCCAGCCACAGGCTCTCGGTTTTGTGCCGTGAGCTGGAAGTGTCTAGTTTGCAGAGGAGGAGAAGGAGGGCAGCTCTGGAGTTACTGGAGAGGACCAGAGCCCAAACCCGGCCCTCTGACTTATTCCTTCTGTCCCCACTTTTCCTTCAGACTGATGATCAAATTCCCAAATCATGCATTAGATCAGGATTCTGGGTTTTGCCATAAGGTGTAAAGTGAATTATCATCTATAGGAGTCTATTAGTTGGATTTATATGAAAAGTATTGGGGATCACTGGGGCTCAATTCACGTGGGCCAAGTAGCAGCAGCACTAAATCCCAAGCAGCAGCACTATGGTGTCTCTGGTTTGGGCCTTGAGCTCGAAGTTTCTCTTGTCTTGTGAGACACTGACTTTACACCTCACCCTGAGGCCAACACTAGGACAGTGCCCTGAAGAAATGGTCCCCTCTATGTCGTTCATGATCATTCTGTATTCCAGGTCTAAATCCAGGTGTTAACCCCACTCTGCATAGCTAGGAGAGTCCGGAAGTTCCTCCCAGCCTGAGTCTTCTCCAGGCCAGGTGTTCACCTTCACCCACACGGGACCTGGGCTCCTGCCCATGCACTTTTCCAGTGCACTTGTGCACCCTTTGTGCCAAGATGTGCTGGGTGCTGCTGATATGAGCACTGAGGGGGCCTCTGGATGGCCTGGGTGAGCTGGGTTGGAAGGCCTACAAGAGTAGTGGCAAACAGTGGTGCCAAAAGGTTGGACATCACTGACCTAGAGCTGTCATGCAGAGAGTGTCTTTGTGCTTTGTTAGAAGGGAGAGGAACGCAGAGGGGAAGTAACTCACTGGAGGGGCTCAGCAAAGGCGGGAGGTTTGAGCTGCTCAAGGAGAACCAAACTGGCGCTCACCAAGCTGACAAGGGAGAGACTTGGAGGAAGAAGGAACTGTAGGAGGAAAGGCTGATTCTTGTCCCAAGGTTGGCAGAGCAGGAGAGGGAGATGGACTCCTCTTTCCCTCACCCTTCCTGACATCAAAACTTGAAGCCACAGGATCAGGACAGTGCAGTGCTGGGTTAAAGACTCATGTAGATGGGTGGAATAGAAGTGAGAATCTAGAAAGACACCCTCAAACATTTTTGGACAGTTGATTTTTGAGAAGAATATAACGATGATTTAATGAAAGAAAGGATAGTTTTTTCATCAAGTAGTGCTAGGACAACTGAACATTCACAAGCGAAGAAGGGGTCAGATTTCTCCCTCCAACCATACACAAAGGTAGAAGTTACAAAAGAGCTGAACATGTAAACTATAAAACTCACATGAAAGTCTTTGTGATCTTTAATCAGGCAATGCGTTCTTAGAGGTGACACACAAAGCATAAGCCACAAAAGAAAAAGAGGAGAAATGTGACTTTATCAAAATCAGTAAAGAGACAGATCACAGAAGGGGGGAAATATTTACAAATCTTAGATCTGATAAGGGACCACTATCTAGAATAAGAACTCTTTCAGTTCAGCAATAAAAAGTTAAATGGCCCAATTTGTAAATTTTAAAAATGGGTAAAAACCTAGGGGTGATGGCACACACCTGTAATTCCAGCATTCTGGGAGACAGAGCCAGAAGGATTAAAATTTAAACCAACCAGGGGGCTGGGGATTTAGCTCTGCGGCATAAGTACCTGCCTTGCAAGTAGGCGGTCATGAGTTCGATCCCCAGCACTGATAAAAAGAAAAAAAAAAAAAAGCAAAAAATTTAAAAAAAAAAAAGAAAGAAAGAAAAATTTAAACCAACCCAGACAATCTAGCAAGATCTTGTCTCAAGCTTAAGCAAAAAAATGTAAAGGGCTGGGAATATAGCTTAGCGTGCAGACCCTGCATTCAACCCCAAGTCCCGTAAAAACAAAACAAATAAAAAAGGGGGAAAATCGGAATATTCCAAAGAATGTACACAAATGGCTCTAAGTACTTGAAAAATGCCCAATGCCAGTAGTCATCAGGGAAATTCTAGTGGAAATTACCACATCCTACTGCAAACTTGCTAGGATAGGTTAAGTGGAAAAGGCAAATAATGAAAAGTTTTGTTAAGATGAGGAGAAACTGGAAACTTAATAAAATGCCAGTGTGATTGTAAATTGGTGTAGCCTTTCTGTAAAACTCTGTCAGTTTCCCAAAAAGCATAAAATTACCATGTGACTCAGCAATTCCACTCTTAGGCAAATACCCAAAGAATGAAGATATGGATCTAAATACAGAATTATACATGAAGAGTCACAGCAGCACTAGGCAGGATTATCAAAAAGTAGAAACCACCCGAGTGCCCATTCCCTGAAGACCTGATACGTACAGGCCTGCATACAGAAGAATGTTATATGACCATAAAAAGCCCCGGATGATTGACACATGCTATAATATAATGAACTCAGAAACACTGGGCAAAGCAGATGGAGCCATTTGCAAAGGTCTGGTTACACCCACATGAAATGTGTAGAGCAGGCGAATCTACAGGACGTAGACAGGTGATTTCCAGGGCAGAGAGCCGGATAGTGAGAAGTGGCTGCAAAGTTCAGAGCTGCCTTTTGGAGCCATGGAAACGCTCTACCATAGACTGACAGAATGATCACACAGCTCTGTGAATACACAGAGAGCCCCTGAGCTGTGTGCTTATAGTGGGGATCTGTGTGCACATGAATGAAATTCTTTTTTTTGTTGTTGTTGTTGTCTTTTTCCTTTTTATCGGTACCAGGGATTGAACTCACGACTGCCTGCTTGCAAGGCAGGCGCGCTTATGCCGCTGAGCTAAATCCCCAGCCCCCCCCCCCTTTTTTTACATGAATGAAATTCTAATGATGCTCCCAGTCAGCTTTCGTCAGGAGGTGACTTGACCTGGATTGGGTCTTCTGTCTCAGATGCCACCCAACCACCCATCCATCCACCCATCCATTCATCCATCTGTCCAACCATTCACCACCCATCTATTCACTCACCCATCTACCTCCTTCTTTTCTTTCTTCCTTCTATTCATCCACCGCACCCTGCACCTGCCTCCACTGACACTGCCTCTTGCATCATTCAGGAGGACTCCTGCCGCATCTCCCGTCCCTCCAATCCACTTGCTCACAGCACTGGGTGCTGTTTTAAAACATGCCCTCCTCTAAGCACATCTAGTGAGTCCCACTGTCCTTAAGATGAATCCTGCTCCCCAGGCAACTCACACATGTACTGGAGGTGCAAACCACGACCCCAGACCCAGGAGGCAGAGCTCACCACCTCCTCAGCAGCACATAGCAGACACTGGGGCCGGGGCAGGAATTCCAGTAGGTAGAACCCGATGGCATAGTCCCAAAACCAGCTGGCTGAAGAGGAGGGGGCCTGGGAAGGAAAATGTGTCATCAGTTCGGTACCAGGAGTGAGGGCTGAGCGCTCTTCTGACGTATGTGTGTTTATGTCATGAGATGGCGATCTGTTTCAGGGATGGCTTCACATGGGGGAGGAAGGAGAAGCGAGGGGCAACACCTCGCAGGACAGCTAACACCTCCCCTTCCATCTAGGCTGTCCTTTGGCCACACTCTTACACGTCCCCACTCAGGGACCTGCTGGATGCCCCTGACTGCCTTCCTTCTGCGCGTCATTTCCCTGACCCTCAGAGCATCGAGTGTCAGCTACCCGGGGAGCAGGCAGGGTGTGGCAGGGAGGACGTGTGCAGGTCACCAGGTACCAGCTGCCCTGGTTGCAGTGACCTTGGCCCCACCACTGCGGCTACCTTGTTGGTGCGGTCCTGGTAGATGACACTGACGTTCTCGCTGTGTGGGAACCACAGGAAGCAGAAGTACTTGAACTTCTTCAGATGGCTGTCAAGGTTGTCGAGGACCTGGTCCAGCAAGAGGAAAGGAGAGAGACCGTGCTGGTCACAGGAAGACGGTGGTAAAGTGACCAAATGATATTCACTGACAGTGGAGGCTCAGGTGTTCCTGTTTTTCGTCACCAAAAGGAAACCCTTAAAATTGTCCCAACACACTAAAGTTGGTATACCACCCCCCCACTGCTAAATTTGACTGGCTTTAAAAAAAAAAATTGTTCCAACATTGCCAAATGGCAAACAATGAGTCTTAAAATACATGGGGCATCAAAAGGGTCCACTTACGTATTCACTTCCCCAAGTTGGCAGAGGACATGAGGATTTCTTATTTGTCCTGGCTCAAGCAGACACTGGCTACATGAGTCTGAGAAGTTACATAATGCTTCTGTGTCTCAAGTTCTTTCTCTGGAGCTAATAATGATCCTACCCCTTCGCCCCTGGAGTGCCAGGAAGATTGAATGAGCTGGTGGCTGAAGGCCCTTAAAATGGCCCCAAGCACACGGAAAGCACCACAGAGGCTTGCAGTGCTGCTTCTGGTATCCCTGCTCTTCTGCTGCTGTCCCTGTCCTCACATCATTGTCATCGATACACAGTCACCCTCCATGAAATGGGCAGGAGAGTCCTGCTGTGCCCTGGCTCAGTCTTGCACATGCTGAGTGTCTCTGGGCGAAGCCTGGCTCCCTGACACCCATCGAGCAGATTCTAGACAAGCTTGGAGCCAGAGCTGAGATAGATTTCGGGGTTGACAGGAAGCTGAGGGGCTGGGAAGACCACTGGTCTTGGGAAAGTTCTGGATTCAAGTCCAGAGTCCCTGCTGTCACTGTCACAGTGCCCTCCTCCTGGCTCTGGCTCCGGGGAGAGGTGTGTCCAGCTTCCCACCTGGGACAGACCCATGGCTCAGGATTGACTTATTGCTGGCTCTGGTATAGTACCTCCCATGGCTCTCACCTAGCACTAAGAGGTTGTTAAATGGTGGAACCATCTGGGGCCTTCCTGTCAGGGCTCACTGAGTGTCCTGTCTGGGGAGCAGTGGTCCCTGGGGGCGTGGATTTCCTTGGTCTGACTTGTCACTGTCAGGTTATTCCCTGGAATCACTGTTGAAGGTGTTTCCCCCATGCAGCAAAGGCTTCTTTGGTGTGTTACTAGCATGAAGGATCCTAGTGGGGTTTGTACCTCACATTTAAAGTCTTGGTGCTATAGAGATGGCTTTTGAAAACTAGTTACCAGGCTTGTGTTTGACTGGGACAGTACCCAGCAGATGGCCATGCAAGACAGTGGGGAGCTTCATCATGACAAAGCACCAGGACCAGTCCTGCTCCTCAGGGGATGGGAGGTGATGCAGGCAGCCAGCTGCACACATCCGAAGCTTGTGATGGCTTAGCTGGCATGAAGGGCAAAAGGGGGACCATGATTTGTGATGTCCCTACGTCTTCTAACTGGCCTGACCGCATGCTGACTGGTGAGCACTCAGCCCTGCTGCTGCCATAAAACAGCACGCAAGTGTGTGGGAGCTTAGTGTGGGCTCCGCAGACCTGAGCTGGGGATCTGACTGCACTCTCCTGCCCTGTGTCCTAAAGCCCCGATTCCAGCTCTTTAGGGCCCTAAGAGACCCCTTCCCTTAACTGAATGCAGGCTCTGGGCAGCATTCAGGTACATGCTGAGCTGTCTGTAAGAGAAGTGGTATTGGGGAGCACAGGACTGGGTCCCAGATGGAACCCTGTACGATCTGGGTGGGGGGCAGAGAACAGGGAGAGGGCGGGGCTCTGAGTCAGGCCAGCCATGCTGGTGTCACCTGCTGCCTCAGAGCAGATCTCTGTGCTCCTGAGCTGACCCCCCCAGCAACAGAGGGAGGGGTGAAGGTGAGGAAAATGGGTGAGCAGTCCATGCAGCCTGGGGACCAGAATCCACACCCCCTCAGCAGGGCCGGGTGGCTGGTGTCTCCCAGCATGTCAGAGAGGGGCCTCTTCCCCACAATGTAAGTGGCAGTGAGGACAGAGGATCCACGTACAGTGTTTCCTTGGAGGGTGACATGAGTCACAGAGGAGCGTGAGGGGCACAGCCCCAGGAACTTCCCTGGGTCGCTCCAGCCAGTGGGACAGTGCTGGGAGCCATAGTCTCTCTCTGGGGGTGGGGACCAGGAGGCAGGGAGCAGTTTTGCACTGGATCCCAGATATCAGAGCTTAAAGGGACCTTGGGGAACTTTGAGCCCAAACTCCCTTGGAAAAGACTAGAAACTGGAGCCCAGAGTTTGAGGCCCTCGATGAAGGTCAAACCCAGAAGAAGCATGGCCAGTCATGTGGGCTACGTGTGCCTCCTCCCTCCACTTTGTGAGAGTTTCTGACCGTGTGTGTGTGTGTGTGTGTGTGTGTGTGTGTGTGTGTGTAAGAGTGCACCTATCTGTTTTATCTTTTGCGGGGGGGATTGCAGCTGCCATTTTTCCTGTGTCATCACACAATCAAAGCAATTGGAAGCTTTGAAAAGGATGTGAGTCATTGCTTCAAAGTCACTTTGAGTTTTCAAGGATGTTATGTTTAAGCTGGAAATTTCCATGCTGACCTGAGGCTGATGGTGTGCACATAAATGTGTATACGTATGTGCCTCTGTGTGAACTTGCATGAGCATGTTTGTGCTGGTGTGTGATGGAGGAGGGAGGCAGCCTGAGAGGAGGCTCGAAGAGAAGCAGGATCCCTGCCAGGTCAGAGGAGGTGCAGAGGACAGGTCTGGGGGCAGAGGACCATCCAGTGCCCAGTTCTGGTGGCCAAAGTCAATCCTCCAGCAAAAGAAGCAACGCCTTAATCTCCAGGCCAAAACCCTTAGCCTGAAAGTCAGTCGGTTCTCACTCAAGTGAGAGGCAGGAAAAGAGGACTCAACCCCGAGGCAGGAGCCCAGCCGCTCTCTGATGGGGAGGGGTCACTGCTGCCTGTCTCTTTCTCTTGGGTGACGGGTGACGTCTACTTACCCCTCAGCCCAGGTGCACCCGCGTTGCCTGGAACATCTGGGTGGCTGGACTCGGAGCACTCCAGAATGACCCCATCAGCTGTCATCAGTGTCAGTGCCACCACCTGGCAGAGGGACGCTGCACTCAGGGCAGGGCTCAGCAAGAAGGTAGTGGGCAGCACCCATCCCCAGAGGATCCTAGCCCCTGGCCACTGGAATCCCCTAGAGGCATGGCCACAGTGGGGCTCAGTGTTGGAGGAGAGAGAAAGGAGAGAGGAAAGGCAGGGCACGCCTGGTGGGTGACATGGGACCCTCCTTTTTGGGAATCATCCTCCAGGAACCACTAATTATCTCTGTGGCTTCACAGTCCGGAAGTGGTGATCTGAGGCGCAAGCCCAGATGGGCGCCAGAGAACCAAGGGCAGAGCATGTGGGTGTAATCCTAGCATCTGGTAGGCCAAGACAGGAAGACTGCAAGTTTATGTCCTGCAGGGGCCACTTAGCAACTTAGCCAGACCCCGAGGGGTGGGCTGGGCAAAGGCCCTGGGTTTAATCCCGTGTAAAAATGAAAGAAGGAAAGAGAGAAAAGAAAGAGCGGAGGGTTTAGGATATATGGATGGGGTGTTTAGGATATATGGATGGGGACCCTCCAGGTCAGCGCAGCCCTGCTGTCCCCCCTCAGCTGGGAGACAAGGTACTTGGGCTGCCCTTGCTGTAACTGGGATCATTGTCTCCTCTGAGTCTGCTAAGGAACCAGCTCCTCCTGCTGGCCGCTCCCGTGCCCCACTGGAGACTGGAGGAGGAGCATCACCTTTGGCCCGCTGCCCTTGGCAGGGCTTAGCCCTCTGGGCTGCCACACATGCTATCTGGAGGGAAATTGCTTCTGACTTGCGGAGCTGGCGGAAGGAGCGCAGGGTGGCAGAGCAGCTCCAGCGGAACAAATTCTCATTAACGTTGGCGGAGACGAGAGAGGAGAAGCTGGCAGAAAATGGCTTGGTGGCCTGCGAGGGAGTGAGGCTGTCACAGCAATTTCTAAGACAGCCGGACTCTGTCTGGGCCAGGAGCAGTGAGTGAGAGCCGGCTGTGAGGCATCTTGCTAGGCCTGGAGCCCGGGAAGGGTGGCACTGCTCTCAGGGCTTAATCCATGGATTTCAGACTTAATCCATGATTATCTCAGCCACGTTCAAGATGTACTTACTGCTTAGCTCAGCTCTGGTCTCTTTCATTCCATTCCCACTCAAGGGCCCCAAATCCATGTGGAATAGGAGATAGGCACCTCGGGGGCGGGCAGCAGAGCCCAGAGAAAGGGATGCATCCTAAGAAGTGCTTCCCAGGAGTGCAGAGGGAGGGGCGGGTCTCTTACTTGGACAGGGACAGGCCGTGCTTGTCCAGCTGCGAGTGCAGCTCAGCCAGCAGGATGCCAGTCTCCACCGTCACCTGCTTATTCTTCTTGTCCACCTGCAGGAGACCAGGGTAGGCTCAGAGGATCCAGGCCACGCTGGTCCTTCATCCCCCCACTCCCGTGACTGGGATGGTGGAGCTGCGCTGTAAGTCTCCACAAGGCTGTGTGGAGGGGCTGGCTGGTGAGGGCTCCTTCTGCAGAGTTCCCCTCTGCATTCCATTTCTATTTGTCCTCTGAGAAACTCTGGGCAAAGACTGAGACTTGGGAGGGGAAGGGCAGACATGGGACATCATTTTGGCACCTGCCGTGGGGACCAGGATGCTGCGTCCTGAGGAAGTAGGAACAGCCCTAGGAGAAAGGAAGTCTCTGCCCTTCACAGGGTCAGAGCAGGATCCAGGCCTGGAAGTCACTCATTTAAATTAGTCACACAAACAGCAGTGGCAGAACTGAGCCTCACTCCAGAGCAGAGCTCACTCCAGGAGTGGAGCACAGAAAGCAGGAAAATCAATCACAGGAACCCATGCTAATTAGCAATTAGAGGTGATTACAGCCATGACTGATGTTCTCTAAGAGGTGGAGATTGGCATCATGAGAAAGAAGGAAATCGCCGAGAGAAACCCAGACGCTAGTGCGCTGGGGCGAGGGAGGTCGTCTGGGAAAAATGACGGCTCAGGCTCGGTGCAGCAGGCCCTGTGGGTGAGACGGGAGACTGATACACGGACATTTGTCCTGGGCTCTGTGTTGCTGTCAGGCCATATGTGGGCTGAATCACACAGACTTCAGCCCTGCATAGCTCTGCTGTTGGCCCTGGGCCTGCTCCCAGCTTTGCTGTCCTTTGACTGTGTGATGCCAGGCAAGTCACTGACTCTGATCCTTAGTTTCCCCATGTGTAAAACTAGCCTCGTGTCACTTTGCTCACATCTGGCTCTGATTCTACCTGATTCATCACTTCTGCTATAACAAAGTGGAGAGGGAGCGCTAGAAGAAGGGGTCACAGGACATTTTCTCATAGCTACAGGAGGCCAGGCAGATCTGACTTGCATGAGCAAGCCTGGACAGGTTCAGGAAAGGGGCTCTCAAGGATGAGTCAAGGAGCATGATGTCATGGGGCAGGCAAAGGTGGTGCGGTACCTGGAGGATCCGGTTCATCTTGCCCCTGTGGATCATGATGCCCTCTGTTCAGGCAATGTCGGAGGGGGAGTGGCCTCTGCCCACAACCTTCACGCGCTTGTTCTGTTGCCTGGCTAGGGCCAGCACCTGCAAGATGATAACCTAAGTCAAGCCTTTTCCCGAGGAGGCCAGAGTGTGCAGGGATCTGGCCTGGCTGCAGGGGGCGCAGGTGGCTCACAGGAACCAGGCTGCCCAGGAAAGAGCTGGAGATGTGGGCCTAGAGGTGAACCAGTACAGAAGACCAAGGAAACTCCTACTGTACTGCGTGGCTCTGGTTCATCCTCCTGCTGCAGCTCCAGACTTTCAGATGCAAACCTGGTCCCAGTCTTCACCAATGCAAAGCCTTCCGGGGTCCTGATGATGAAACCCACTCGTGTGTGTGTGTGTGTGTGTGTGTGTGTGTGTGTGTGTGTATACATGGGGCATTCGTACACATATGCACAGCACCAAGTGCCACCCAGCGGTCCCTGACCCATAGCTGTGCAAGCTGGCGTGGGCCTGGGAGCTGCAGCAGCTGCAGGTGGACCTGGGTTTAGCGGAATCCCCAGAGCTCAGCCCAGCCAGTTCTGAGCTAGGAATGGGATCTGGCCCAGGAAGTTCCATCTCCAGACTCTTGGAGCCAGGGCAGTCCCTGAGCGGGATGTGGAGCTCACACTCACCTCTCGGACCTCCTCCACCGATGCCGACTGGTAGTACATCTCCAGGCAGCAGCAGTAGGTTTTCACCCAGTTTTGGAACTAGAAGCCTTTGTGCCCCTGGACCTGTGCCAGGGAAGCAGCCAGGTCTCAGCAGCTGTCCTAGCTGCATCCCCCTGTGATGCCACATCCTACCCACCCCCTTTTCAGATTGGGTGGCTGAGGCCATGCATGGAACCTTGGGCTTCTCTCCCTGAATCCACTGTGGATCAGGGCCGCTAGGAAGAGCAAACATCACTGGAGGAATTGGGGCCGAGTGTCCATGCACAGGGCCACCCGTTCTTATCTCCCTTGACTCCTCCTGCTCTGTGGGTAGATGGCATGCAGAATCCTGCCCATTGGTAGGTGCAGGGGGACAGATGAGGTCAAGAATGCAGCCCGAGAAAGCAGGCCTCGGGCTTCCTGCTCTGGGGCACCCTCTGGCAGAGCTCAGCAAAGGGGGTGGGGGGTGTAACTGAGTAGGGCAACTGGGAAGGGGGCTGTGTGAGCTGGGCATGGTGGCCCAAGGAGGGCTAGAGCCTGGTCCTCAGCTTTCCTACCAGGCCTATCAGGGAAGGGGCGTGAGGGGCCCCAGGGCCATGTACCCAGCTGGCCTCTGGCCCACAGCCAGAATGCTGGAGATGAGACTCCCACCTGTCAGCAAATGACCCTTTGCATCCTATCTCATTGAGACCTTACAATAATGACATGAAATAAGTGACATTATCCCCATTTTCAGCACCCAAAACTGAGGCTCACAGAGCCGCTTAATAAAGGCGAAAGAGTCCAGCCCAATATGGCCCGCACCTTCCCTATAGCCCCACACCTGGCCCATTGCTGCCCCCCCACACACACCTGGCTCACAGGCCCGGCCTGGCCACACTATGGGCCCCTTACCATGGCTACAGCTGTTGCTGGCCTCGGCTGGCTCTGACTTTCCTGGGGAACCAAGCCCTGAGTGCAGGAGCACGGAAGCAGCAAGTGTGCCTGTGGCACATACATGACTGGGGCAGTGGAGTAGGGGCAGTGGGTCAGGGAGCACAGCGGGGCAGGCTCCACCCCACAGCAATAAGGCAATGAGGCTGGGACAGGGCAAAAAGCGCAGGCCCTGCCCCGCCCCCCAAGGCCCTGACAGGCAGGGAGGTGCAAAGCAGATTTCAGCCGAAGCTGCTCTGTTTCTAGAAACTACCTGAGCTTGGACCCCAGCCCTATGAATTCTAGAGCCAAAGGCCACCCCCAGCTGCATGGCTCTATCCTCACCCCATGGTCAAGGAAGCCCCGTGGACAGCTGCAGCCTGAGTCCCTCAGGGCACCAGTTCACGTCAGACCTGGGGGATGATGAACCAAGTCACCTCACTGTTAAGGAGACAGATCAGGGTGCTGGGGGCCGCAGGCTGTGCATTGTCTTCTGGGAGACCTCTTCTCTGTGCTGAGGGGAGAGGAGGGCTTTAGGCAGGGTAAACACACTGAAGCTTCTAGTCCAGGCCTCGCCAGATAACACCGGAATCTCAGTTCCCTTCATGTCAACACACAGGTTACAGTGGCCATAAGAGACATACCCAGACTGGGCACAATTGGTGCTTAGAAGTGTGGCCTGCTGGTGGGAGGATCCTTGGGACACCATTGTCCCCAACTCTTGGCTGCCAACCCAGGGAGCTGTGCATGTTTGTGCAACAGACAAATTAAACAGTCATCGAGCACCTTGTCTTAGCAGAACTTTTGGAGCCCAGAGTCGATGTCTGGTGTGGACCCTGAGCAATGGTTCCGGGCTCCGGAGGAGGGAGGGTTGGGTGAGAGGAACCGGGCATAGGGAGTCCGCATAGGGGATCACAGCAATCTTTACCTCCACACCAGTATTTCTGAGGTGGGATAGAAATTACCCAATTTGTGATCAAATTTACCCAAAGTTACCCATGTCTGTACCCCACATCTGTAGTCACAAGGCTTGGTTTTTTTTTTTCTTTCAAGAACCACCATACCCTAACCCTTTAAAGGCACTGTAAATACAGACATGAACGTAGTAGATAAGATAAAAGCAACAAGCTCAAAGGATTCAAAGAATGTTCTTAGCAAAATGTCTTAAAGAATCTTAAAGATCACCCTCTTATTTTTTTATATCGGGGATCGAAGTCATGACCTTGTGCTTGCTAGGCAGGCGCTGTGCTGCTGAGCTATGTGTAGGGCCCAAGATCCCTCATCTGAAAGGAAATCTCTGAGACCGAGCACATGGCTCCCACCCCAGATCTCAGTGAGTCTCTACCAAGCACCCACCACTTATTTTCTCCTGAGCACCCACTTACTCCACTGCAGTTGGTAAATCTGCCAGGTCCTCTCTCTGCTGTGTCCTGAAATTCTTTCTCTATTGTTGGAATGGGCAAACAAACTCCATGGAGGGAATGAGCTGAAGTCCCCATCTCCTCCTTGGAGCCTGGTCTGTGACATCCTACCAATGTGCCACACACATGTGTGCATGCATGCGTGCGTGCGTGTGTGTACGTGAATGTGTGTACTCAGGCACCTGCAGCCTCCCAGCCAGCAGGTAAGGTGGCCAGAGAAGGTGCTATTGCTGAGTGGTTGGCGCAGTGGTCAGAGAGGGGATCCCTGAGACCGGTGGGAGTCTGCAGAGCTGAGGGCTACAGGATAGGACTCACAGGAAGCACAAGAGCCGGGTTCCACAGGCCAAACTCAAGCCCTAGGATCTTGGAGAGGAATGTATATGGAGAGAGGGTCTTTTTAATTTTAATTTTATTTTTTAGTTCTAAGAATCAAGCTGATGACCTCATGCTTGCCAGGCCAGCATTGTGTGGCTGAGCTATATACCCTGGTCCCAATGGGCCTTTAAAGAGTGACTGAGGTGGGATAGGGTCCTTAGGAGGGCCCCTGACCCTCAAGGACTGGTCCTTATAAGAGGTGGTTAGACAACAGATCCGCTCCGAGGGCTCCGCAGCAAACACAGCCCTCCTCAGCCCAGGAGACAGGCCTTGGGGGAACCAGTCCTGACCACACCGGATTCAGACCTAGCGACCCAGGACTGTAAGGCAATGACTCTCTGCATTCTGGTCTCCGGATGTGTGGTATTTGGTTATGGTGGAGCTGAGGGAGGCACCCCCTAAAAGCCCCAAGGCCTTTGTGGGGAGAAGAGCCAGGCCAGGCTGCTTCTCTTGGCATCTGTTCCCTTGGGGCTGTCCTTAAGGGAAGGGGTGAGGGGCTGGTCTGAGCCATGGAGAAAGCAACATCAGAGTTGTCACTGTTGCTTTCTATCCACTGTTGTAAGGCCCCAAAGGGGCCCAGGGCTGTGGCTGACACAGGACAGGGTCAGCATAACAGGGACAGAGCGGTCCCAGCAGTGAGGGCCCTGCAGTGGTGACAGGCCAGTGCCACCTGGAACCGGTAACTCAGAGCCCATTTCCCCTCCAACCCCATCCCCACAACTTCAGAGCTTCCTGGGGCTTGTCACCCACAGAAGCCTCATAGCCTGGAACTGTGCGGTTCCCACTGCCACCAAAGGTGTCCCGGCCACCTCTTTGGAACCGAACACTTCCATCAACACCCCAAGCTGCCCACATCCGTGGTATAAATTAGAAAAAATCAAATCACCTCAGGAAGAATCCCCAAAATCAGCAGAAATGGTGCCTATTAGTTATTCTGATCTGTGTTGCTGCCATTTGATGACTGAGGTCCAGGGTGCGTTATTTCTTATACTCTGAACAGCTCAGCTTATTCATTGCTGAGTCTCACTTTTTTTAAACGTTCATCAGCAAGGAAATCAATGTTCTGTTTCACTGGGCTCTGAAGAGCCCAAACACAGATCTTTATCTCTCCCAGGTTTGCTCATCTCTGAGAACGAATTTCCTTGTATTCCATTTGCACCCCAGGAACTGAACACATGGTTTTGTTTTTTAACCATCTCCATGTTCTTACTGTCAACACTTTGAATGATATTTCACAATTCCTGATACTATTCAGTCAGGTCACCCTCTCTAAATGTGATACTCAACAAACAAGTCAATGGGACTCTCTACAATGTTCCATGCCTTCAGAGTTGTTTTTCCATCAGAATCTCAGACCACTAAGGAGACAGTGCAAAGATATTTGCTTTCAAATGTTTCCCAATGAAAGCCATGCTGGTTTGTTTACTAAAACACCCACTGATTTGTGATTGCGGTTACAGTGGAGAATCAGCGGCTGCCCTCTGCGTGGTGATGAGCGCGTGGACTGTGGGTCAGCCTCGGTCCTGGTTCTGGCTCGCAGAGCGCAGTCCCCCTGCCAGAAGCAGCTGCTGTTTAGCTCAGGGATGGAGCTTGGTTCTCAGAGGGACCCAGCGGGTGGGGACAGGTCTTTGTTCTGAAATTGTCCTTAGAAGAGCAAATAGATGCCAAAAGGGTCAGTAAAAAATGAAAGAGGGCAGAAAGATAAATCTGTCCACCCACATAAAAGCCCATCAGACCGATGTCCTGAATGGGATAAAGGTGAAGGCCAGACAGGGAGGAGATCAGAGTGTCCCCTCTGGTTTGGTGCCCAGCTGATACTATCACGGCCTCATTTACAGAAGATAAGGCTGTGTTTTTCATCCCACAGAACAGTGACAAATGTCTCCTTTGTCCAGCTGACAGTGCTTTTTCCTTTCAGGCTCCTGAGCCTGGAGATAAAGGATGGAACTTATGTTTAAAATTATTTTTCCTATTTTTTTTCAGTACTGAGGATTGAACTCAAAGCCTTGCAAAACTGCAAATCTACATCCCCAACCCTTTTTTAATTTTCTTTTTTCCTTCTCTTTTGAAAAAGAAGCAAGTAAGTTACTAACTTGCCCAGTCTGGGCTGAAACTTACTCTGTCCTCCTGCCTCAGCCTCCAAGGATGCTGGGATTAAAGGTGTCATCACACCCCACAAGGATGGACTGAGAATATAGCATATATGTCTATGATTTCTAGCCTCAGTATTGGCACTAATTAGCTGGGAACCTTATTCATCCAGGGCCTCTTCATTATAAAATGAGAGTTTTGTAAGGCTTGAGGTAATTGCCTGACATGTAGGAGCCATACCAATGTATGGTAATTAATATCATTATTATGATCTCTGTGCTTAAAGCCATGGAAGGAGACCAGAGTTACCTACTGCTTTGGTCTGGCCAGTAGCATCCTGTGAGCTTGATCCTTGTCTGTTGTTCACATTGTCAAAGCGAGGTCAGAGTAGGGGCTCAGCAAACACCAGAGGGAGTGGGGGAGGGGAGAGGACAGGGAAGAGCAGAGAGAAAGAGGAAACTTGAGGTGAGGACTCTGGAATCTGTGCTTCCTAAAGGACCCCAGGGTTTGGGCTGTGATTTTTCTGCTTTCCAGTGCAGCTCTATTCCCGGATCACCTTCGGCCCAAAGTCAACAGATGGATCTGCTCTACTCTTACCGGAGTTGTCACCTGAGTTAGGTGAACTGGGGACAGCTGTGGACCCTAAAATAAACCAGGATGAGGCCTTTGGGAGTGTAGAACCGCTGGGGCCTTGCCTCAGTGCTTTCTGAGGTGTTTATGGTGGAGTCCGTAAAGCGATGTTAGGGCCAAGGTGAATGCTTTGAAAGGAACCACTTAGAATTTATCAGCATCCAAGAGGCCTCTTGTACCAAGAGCTGTGCCTCTTCTTGCCTTTTCTTTCAGCTCAAAGTCACAGAAACTCATGATTAGAGGAGAATTTATAGTTCTCATCTCCTTTGGTCTGCAGAGCTTCCAGGCCAATATCTCTGCTTTTATTCTCATTTGCATCACATAGTTCCAAGCCTGTCTGACAAATCCGTCCATGGAGATATCTGGCCATGCCCCTCAGTGTGATAATTAAAATTAACTTTAA